AGCGCTGCGGCGGCGGAATCGCAAAACGGTACTTACTTAAAAACATGCCTTGTATACATATATATATATATATATATATATATATATATATATATATATATATATATATATATATATATATATATATATATATATATATATATATAAAATCGGGACATTAGTGCTTTGCGAGGGTACGCAGGACCTTTGGATCAAAATCTGGACTGTCCCGACAAAATCGGGACGGGTGGCAACCCTGATTGCAAGACTTGGTATTTTTTACAGTCTATTGGGATTGTTCTTTAATTTTGTATTTTTATAGTGGGTTTATTATTTCTGACCAAAAAATTGATTTGGCCCCAAAATAGAAGCTATAAATTTTTCTTTAAAAAGACCATTTCCAATAATTATCAAAAAAAAATACTTACACAGTACCACCACTATGCAAGTCCTTTGATGCACACTCCACTTCGAGGTGGAAATAGCAAACACCCCTCAGACCATACGTAATACAGGGCTTCTCTGTACCCAACCAATAATTATCCGAAATGCATACGTAATCGACGTCTTTCAAAAACTTATCCTGTTCACTATAGAGCAAAGGTTCCAGTCCCACACTACCTGATTCTTCCATGCCTTCGAAGACAAATTTGACATTAACCTAACAAATAGTCTATGTATATATTTAAAAAAAAATAATTAATATAGTTTACTGGAATGTCTTCACCAGCTGCTTTATAGGCTTGCAGAACATGAATCCAACCAGGACAGGCCCTTTATCGTCTGAAGAACCTCTGCCAAACAGTTTACCATCTTTTTCGGTGAGTTCGAAGGGCTTTGTGTCCCATCCATCTTCAAACAAGGCAGGTTGTACATCCAAGTGACCGTAAACCAGGACAGTCTTCTTTCTAGCGCATGTTCTCAATGTTCCTGTTAAATTGTTATAGTTATAATAGATTTTTTGGTAGCAAAAAATAAAAGTTAACCTAATAAAACAGGTGGGAGTGGAATTGTTGATCCGTCAGGTAATGTCTGAGTACCAATATCCCGTAGTTCTACGGTTGTTCCTAAGGCTTGTAATTTTGTCGAAGCCCACTCTAGCATTTTTTTAATATCGGTCCGATTTTGGGGCCACGCTGACACCGATTTAATTGCCACAGCATCTTTCAGATTGTTAATATATTCCTGCTTATTTTCATCAACCTTTCTACAAAATAGTATGTAATAAAATTTAATTCTAATAAGAAAAATATTAAACTTACTTAAATAGCTTAGTTAATACAGGTGGTAACCCCATCTCGGCTATAATTTCAAAATTGATGACAACTAGTAGCAACCAAGTGAAAACAATTAATCAGAGAGACTAATGAACTTAAATTGAATAAATATGATTTTTTATATTCCCAACACAATAAGGTTTTTCACAATAGATAAAAAGTTATTTAATCAATTCTACCCACCAAAATATTTATTAAGTCTAATATCTGCTTTATAGCCAATAATGTAGCATAAGTATAATCTTTTAAGTGTTAAGATTAAAATCAGAGAATAGGTACATTATTAAAATATTGTTTACATAGGTGAGGTTACAGTGCATGATACAAGGAGGGTTAGATAAGATATTACAGAAGTGTCTAGTCCTAGCCGTCAACTATTAAGCTTGACCAATCAGGTTGGTTAGCGTGGTTATTTGGAGTGTGTTAATTCATTTGTGTTTGTCAAAAACTCTAACGTGATTGGTCGGGCTTAACAGTTGCCTGCTAGGGCTAGACACAAGTGATATTACGCATGTAGTGGGCGGAGCTTAACAGAAAATTACTATCCCGGTGAAGTCATGCGCGTGGAGAACCGATGTGCCACCGGCAGCGATCTTCTGAGAGAAGATATTGCGCATGTAGTTGGCGGAGTTTAACAGAAAATTACTACCCGAGTGACGTCATGGGCGCGGAGAACAGATTTGCGACCGCCAAGGATCTTATCTAACCCTTATTGTATCGTGGTGACAGATTGGTTACAGATGACAGATACTACCTATATGTATTTTTTCCTACAAGATGTTTCAAAAACAATATGCCGTCTCTTGTGGGGGGATACTAAACGTAAAAATAAGCTTTATTTTTAATATCAACATAGGATGAATTCTGCTTTGTTTCGTAGGGGATTTTAATTTTTTTTTTAAATTTATTACAATTTTCTTCCAAGTACTTTTTAGCGATTCGAATCAAATTTTGAGGGTAAAAGATAAGCTGTGCTACTAAAAAAGTAGTACTTAATAAATGCTAAAAATGTGTTCATAGATTCAGCAGGTATGTGTTCATAGATTCATAAGATACTTATTAGTTTTACCCTCTGGTTTTACCCTTGTTTTTACAAATTTTTGTTCACTTGGAGCAAAGAATATTGACTTGGAGTCAGAAAAGTATAATGCAAAATTATCATTAACTGTCATTAACCCTGATTTGGTATATCAAAGAAATTATTTTATCATAAATCTTTGTAATAACGTAGACATTTTTACCAGTGGTGTAACGTTTATCTCATTAGATACAAATATTATAAATTATAAAAGAAATACAAATACATATGTACTGTGTGTGTAAACTTTTAAATTAAAAAAATTGGCGCCGGGAGGCACGTATAGCCGCCCATACTAAAATATGTTAATATCTCGAAAATTGCGACTTTGACTGATTTTGATGTTATTACAAATTTTGTTGCAAATATTATTCCTAATCTTAATTTGAAAACCGCGTTTCCGCTGAACCGATTTTAACCAAATTTGGCACAAAAATACTGTGGCACCCGAGAATTTGGCCATTAGTTTTTGGTGGGGGTGGGGGGTTGGTAAGGGTGTATGGGAAGGGGTTAAAAATTCTAAAAAATCGTAGCTCCAAAATTACAGTAGCCAGCGAAACGTGGTTTTCAAATTAAGATTAGGAATAATATTTGCAACAAAATTTGTAATAACATCAAAATCAGTCAAAGTCGCAGTTTTCGAGATATTAACATATTTTAGTATGGGCGGCTATACGTGCCCCCCGGCGCCATTAATTTTTTTAATTCAAAATAATATACGGATGATTTTGCTTTATTTCGTAGTTACAGGGAAGTTAGAGTCTCCATTTTTTTCGATTTATTATAATTTTCATCCAATAAGTGCTTCTTTTAGCATATAAGTGAATATATACTATACATATAATAAAATTGCGTTTATCTCATCAAGGAGATCGAAATCGACAAAAGTATCAAGATACAAATTTTTAATTGACATCAAACGGCCTACACGCTACTGCTAATAAGAGGAAAAAAGTCAGTGGCGCACGTGTTTTTTTTTAGAAAAATATTCCAGTGATATCCACCCATATGCACGTCCCTGGTGAATATGATGTGTAGGATAACATTTATACTATATATAAATTTTGAATTTATTAAAATATAATATAATATATATAAATTTATTAAATGTTATCACAGACTAAAGTTTGTGATGTTCTTGAAATACCTTACAAAATATAAAACACAAGTGCACAGAAAATATGGATCTATTAATTCTTATCTCATTGGGATTGACAATTCTGACTAGGATATTTTTAACTTTATGACTAGGATCATGGAATGGGATATGGGATCATCATGGAATCTACCTAAGATCTACCATATAAATATATGGGGTCTACTCATATACAGGGTGGCGCACCTAATTCGCCTCGGTTGATTATAAGAAAACGGAAAGATGTAGAAACAAACTATTTTATGGGTGGGTATATGTGGGAAGGCAATGTACATAATTTAAAATTATTTTGAAATGTACAGGGTGTGTCAGAACTAAGATCCATACCAAAGTTTTACTTTTTCTTATGGAACACCCGGTATTTTATTTAATTTTTGGATACTTGGACATAAAATGAGGCATTTATTATAAGGGTTTAATATGTCTAAAAGCTTCGGCTTTTGAGATATTTTAAGATATTTAAATATGCATGCTATAATAAAAAGGTTTGTCAACACCTTGTACATTACTTTTCAGAATTAATTCTGGTGCTGACTTTCAAGCCAGAGAAATAAACTTTACTAAAAAATTTGATTGCTTCCTTAAATGTCTACAGGGGTATTAAAAATACATTAGGCACAAAGAAACCTGTCGTTGGAAGTGAAGAAAATGAATTTGCCTTAATTGGTTCTTTTATAGAAAATCCAATATATCTACAAGTCATCGTAATATAAATCAAAGAACTACTTCTTTATTTTTCTTGACAAAATAATAAATGCTTACTTATTAAACTGTTGTAGGTAAATTAAATCAAAAGTAAACTGTTGTAAATTTAAATGAAGTCCATAAACTAATGTCAATTTTGAAAATAGCTAGTAAGTGTTACTAGAAAATTGCCATGGAGACACTAGCCATCTTGATTACAGTTTTATTGAAAAATCGCTTTTTATTCAAAATCTGAGCCAGATAGGTATAGGAAACCCTAATATAGTTTGAAAGAGTATTTAAATCTGCTTCAACTTATTTAAAAAAATAGTGTTGCATTTGAAATAACGAAGTTTTTATGTAAAATAAATAGTTAAAATAGACCAGCAATTTTTGATACCCCTGCAGGGAAGCAATAAATTTTTTTAGTAAAGTTTATTTCTCTGGCTTGAAAGTCAGCACCAGAATTAATTCTGAAAAGTAATGTACAAGGTGTTGACAAACCTTTTTATTATAGCATGCATATTTAAATATCTCAAAAACCAAAGCTTTTAGACATATTAAACCCTTATAATAAATGCCTTATTTTATGTCCAAGAATCCAAAAATTAAATAAAATACCGGGTGTGTGTGTTCCATAAGAAAAAATATAACTTTGGTATGGATCTTAGTTCTGACACACACTGTATTTCAAAATAATTTTAAATTATACACATTGTCTCTCTACATCTACCTATAAAATATTTTGTTTCTACATTTTTCCGTTTTCGTATAATCAACCGAGGCGAATGAGGTGCGCCATCCTGTATGTACCTACGATCGAGAAAAAAAAATAACAGCTAGGCATGGCTTGGAAATAAGATCGCTTTTCATTTTATGTATAAAATGATATGGAAAATAATTTCCAAGCCAACTGGGGCACTACCACCTAGAATATTAACTATACAGTGGGTCACAATTTTATTTTTTACTCTATGAATCCACGTCTCTGCCATTTTTCAAGTCGTTTTATTCATTTTTTATTTAAATTAAAGTTCTTTTGATCAAAATACGTATCTCTGAATAATAATTTACATATATTTACAATTAGATACATTTATTTTATTAATAATTTAAAATTAACTTAAAATTATTGAACTGTCTGATGCAAATCCTGATACTTCTCTGGAAGTTTAGGTTCAAATCCTATACCAAACGGCCTTAAATGGTACAGTAAATAGTCGTAAATATACATCTCTTCTTTACGAACATAATGAAAGGTTATTGCTACGTCTGAGCAACAACTAATACCCTAAATAACAATATATACTTAATAATAATATTTGAGTAATGTTATATTTTTGTAGATGTATTACCTCTTCAATCGGGTAATATAAGTATTTCCACAGCCAGGTATCACTAGGTAAAGTACCTGGGATCATAAAATATTTTAAATTAAGCGGCAGGAATCGCATTCTCCCTCCTGAATCTCTTGAATTGGCAGCTTTGACATCAATAGCTTCAAGACACCTTCCTAACTCGACGTCTTCATTGCCCAGTGGTTCTTCCTTGCAAATTGTCTTATTTGGAAGTGCTTCCTATATTCGATTAAAATAAAAAAAAAATTGTGCTAGCACTATGTGCGCATATTTGAAGTGAAACTTCTTACTAACATCTATTAAATTGGAGGATTTGAAGGACATGTTTGAAAAAGTGACATTTAATGCTGTTTCAATACAGGGTGGCGCACCTAATTCGCCTCGGTTGATTATACGAAAACGGAAAGATGTAGAAACAAAATTTTTTATGGATATATGTGGAAAGGCAATGTGCAGAATTTAAAATTATTTTGAAATATACAGGGTGTTTCAGATCTAAGATCCATACCAAAGTTATATTTTTTCTTATGGTAACACCCGTTTTTTTATTTCATTTTTGGGTTCTTGGGCCCAAAAAAGGCATTTATTATAAGGGTTAAATATGTTTAAAATCTTTCGTTTTTGAGATATTTAAAGATATTTAAGTATGCATGCTACAAAAGAATTGATTATTAACACCCTGTACTTTACTTTTGAGAATTAATTTTTGTGCTGAGTTTTTTTTTAATTAATAAACTTTACTGAAAAATGTTATTGCTTCCATAAATTTATACAGGTGTACCAAAAATTGGTGATCTATTTTAAGGATTTATTTTACATAAAAACTTTGTTATTTCAAATGCAACACCCAGTATTTTTTTAAATAAACCGAAGCAGATTCAAATGCTCTTTCAAACTATATTAGGGCTTCCTATACCTATATATCTTGGATTTTGAATAAAAAGCGATTTTTAAATAAAATGACAATCAAGATGGCTGGTACAGCCATGGCAATTTTCTAGTGACAGTTAGTAACTATTTTCAAAATTGACATTAGTTTATGGACATTATCATTTAAACAGTTTACTAAAATTTACCCACAATAGTTCAATAAGTATGTATATTCTTTATTTTATGGAGAAAAATAAAGCCGTATCTGTTGGCGGAACGAATGGATGTTACTAGTGATTTTATTTTGTGAGGAAAATTGTTTCTTAACCTCAAGAGCTTATGCTCAAAGATATCCAAATATGAATCTTCCAGATAAGTGTTCCTTTGAAAAACCACTTGTCCTTTCTATTTCGCAGAGTTGGTAGTGTAGTTTATAAAAAATCTATTAGGCAGAAACCTGTCGTTGGAAGTGAAGAAATTGAATTTGCCGTATTTGGCTCTTTTATACCAAATCCATATACCTATCTACAAGTTATCATAAATGAAAAAAAGAACTACTTCTTCGTTTTTCTTGATAGAATAATAAATACATATTAATAAATATTATTTATTAAACTATTGTAGGTAAACTGGTATAAATTTAAATAAAACTAATTGCGATTTTGAAAATAGTTACTAACTGTCACTAAGAAATTGCCATGGCGATACCAACCATCTTGATTTCCATTTTATTTAAAAATCGCTTTTTATTCAAAATCTGAGATAGATAGGTATAGGAAACCCTAATATAGTTTAAAAGAGCATTTGAATCTGCATCGATTTATTTAAAAAAATACAGGGTGTTGCATTTGAAATAACAATGTTTTTATGTAAAATAAATCCTAAAAATAGACCACCCAATTTTTGGTACCCCTGTATAAATTTAAGGAAGCAATAACATTTTTTAGTAAAGTTTATTTCTTTACCTTTAAACTCAGCACAAGTATTAATTCTGAAAAGTAATGTACAGGGTGTTAATAATCAATTCTTTTGTAGCATGCATATTTAAATATCTTTAAATATCTCAAAAACGAAAGATTTTAAACATATTTAACCCTTATAATAAATGCCTTTTTTTGGGCCCAGGAATCCAAAAATAAAATAAAATACCGGGTGTTCCATAAGAAAAAATATAACTTTAGTTTGGATCTTAGTTCTGAGACACTCTGTATAGTTCAAAATAATTTTAAATTGTGCACATTGCCTCCCCACATATATCCATAAAATATTTTGTTTCTACATCCTTCCGTTTTCGTATAATTAACCGAGGCGAATGAGGTGCACCACCCTGTATAAATATTATTTTCAATTTATTTCTGTAATCTGTACATTTTCTGTTTCCTCAATAGCCTACAAATTTTGTGGAATACCACCCAAAATACACACTTTTATGCAAATGCCTAATAATGTTAATGCTTAAATTTATTTAAGGAGAGAAAAAATTTTGAACCTAACCAACAATTCGTATTTATAGTGGTTTACAGTAATTTTGTTAAATTACACGAATATTCTCGTTGATTATTGGTTTGAAATAAATATGACAATGTCCTCCAATAAAAATGCGAGTTGCTTAACTCTAATAATTCTAATTCTGAGCTACCAAATGAGCTAAATGCTTTACTTAGACCGTTATTCAGAAGCTACAAACCTATCGATGAAAATATGCATGAAAATTTACTTACTAGCACACAACCAAAGGATATTGGTACCCAGGTACAGTATCAAGTGTATTATAATACTTTTCAAAGCATTAAATCAAATGGTTTTTGGTGTTTACGCAATCCTTACCACTTTTTTTCTCGCTAGCTCGTGCGTTAAGGCATGGTCAAGGCCATGTCGTGTCAAGGCCTTGAATTTTTACTCCCATCCCGCGTAAAGAAGTTTCACTTCAAAAAAGGTATATTATTATAATACCATCGTCTATACATACAGTAGCAAACTTTTTTAGCGCAGCTTTGCTAAGAACATAGCCCGCACCTCCGCTCATATATCCTTGGTTAATGAAAGGCTTAAATTTACATCCTAAATATACAGGTAGTTCGGGATCCTGGGTATAAAGCATATACCTCAAATTTTCCACAATAACATATCTAAAAAAATTAATCCATTTTCTAAAATATACCTAAATACAGGGTGTTTCAAAAAACATGTGCCATCTCTCGTGGGGAGATTCATCAGGTAAAAATAAGATTTATTTTTCATATCAACATGGGTCCGATTCTGCTTTGTTTCGTAGCTACAGGGTGTTAAAGTCTTAATAATCTTTCGATTTATTATAACTTTCTTCCAAGTACTTTTAGTGATTCTAATGAAATTTTGAGGGTAAAAGTTACTACATGTGCTACATATTTTAAAAAAAAGTGTCGATAAATTCATCAGGGACATGCATATGGGTTATCACTCGAATATTTTTCAAAAATAACCCACTAACCTTTTTTTTGGCTGAATGCCAATTAAAAGTTATCTCTTGATATTTTGTCGAATTCGGCCTCCTCGATGTGATAAACGCAATTTTATTAATCACAATTAATAAAATTAAAATAAAATTAACAAATTATACAGGTTGTTAACTCGACGATTACTTATAGCAGAATGGCAACACTACCTAAGCTAAGCTGCCGACTCGTCCCATCGCGTCGTCTCTCGACGAGTTGGCCGAGGTTGCCATATTTCAACCATAAAGCTGTTGCCGCGAGGAATAAACAAATTAACAACCTGTATATTTTACCTAATTTATTATTAAACATTATTACTATTTTTGTGTTCGCTTCATCTACATTACCGTAGATGGAGCTAAGAAGGCTTAGGTAGGGTATATAAAAATAAACAAAATACGAGTAGCGGAAAAAGGGGCCAAAAAACCCTACATATGTATATGCTTATTCTCTGCATTAAGTTCATCAGACCGAAGGGAACAGCCATTATTACTATTAGTTATTATTCTATTAGTCCAACCTACAGCAATTACAAATAAAAAAGATAATGGTATCTAAGATAATTACAAAAAAAATAATTTTAAAAAGTTTTAACATCCTGTAACTCTAAAACTATGCATTTGCATACCCATGCTTATAGGAACTTTTTTTCATATTTTTTGATGAGGAATCAATGAGTACTTATTTAAAACTTTCGCAAGTTAATGATATTAAATTTTTTTAAAGGTAGCATTAGACTTGGATCAAGGCAAATTAATAAAATTACGTTTATCTCATCAAGGAGGTCGAAATCGATAAAATAACAAGAGACCACTTTGAATCGGCATTAAACTGCTTACACTATTTCGCTAACAAAAGAAAAAAAGCCAGTGGCGTACACGCTTTTTTTAGAAAAATATTCCAGTGATAACGTGATAACCCATATGCACGTCACCGGTGAATATGTCGACACTTTTTTAGCTTTAAAATATGTCGCATTTATAGTAACTTTTAACCTCAAAATTTTATTCTAAACGCCCAAAGTAGTTGGAAGAAAATTATAATAAATCGAAAAAATATTAAGATTTTTACACCCTGTAGCGAAACAAAGCAGAATCAGACCGACAGAGATTGATATGAAAAATAAATCTTATTTTTACTTAAGGAAACTCCCTACGAGATATGGTACATGATTTTTGAAACACCCTGTATACACCACACGGGTTATTCACCACCTACGACACGGAGTATTGTAGCTAAACGATTAGATTTTTACAAATTGTAAGTTTTGGGTTCGTTGAAGAACTATTAGAGCTACAATTTAAAAATATTTTTACAAGATACAGAGTGTCCCTAATAAATAAAAAGTATTATAGTTGTATTTTTTAAATGGAACACCCTCTATATTATTTTATTTTTAGATTCTACGATTGAAATAAAGGAAAAATTTGATTAAGGTTTCTCGCACTTAAACCTTACTGTTTTTGAAATATATTTAATTTTGTGAAATTGTAGAAAAATGTTAAGGATTTATTTCTCCAAGGGTATGAACGTTTTTAGGGCTCGAACACACTGACGACCAGGTCGCACCGGTCAGGCCGCTGCTACCTCTAAAACCATTAAATCAAATGATACAGCGCACACTAACGTCCTGGCCGTCCGTTGGTCGTTGCGACCAGTAGACTGCACTAAAATATTATTATTTTCTGCCGCTTGCTGCCGGTTTTCTTCCAAATTAATAATTTTTCAGATGAAATCCCTCAAATTCAACGCACAATATTTTATTTTCTATAAGATATAGTGTTTTAGTGTAGTTTTTGCACAGGTGCAGAAAATCCAAAGAAATAGTATACAGACTGGATCAAAGGGAAACTTAAATCTAGTCCCTTTTTTTATCAAGGGTCGATTATAGTAAAAATTCAAAACATTTTTATATGACATACTCTATTTATGGTTGGTATGATACCTGTTATTATACCTTCGAGTTTCGATGTTAAAAAATAAAAAAATCAAATTTAAAGTTTTTCTACAACCACTTGTTTTTTTATTAAATTTTGTTTTATTAGTTGTATTGTCATGTACAAGGAGGACAACTGTATTTTAAATATTATATTTAATTTAACGTTTGTCAAACAGGGTCCATTAGATATTTCTACTAGGTATGTACATTATTTTTTAAAAAAAATTAAGAGTAAAAGTAACTTAAACATTCATAAAAATAGAAGTATTTACTGTTGTAGATTCTCAGTAACAATAAAAAAAGGATTTTTTATTGTAAACATTGAAATAACTGGAAGCTAAACTTTCTACCTGCTTATATTTAGAGCCAGTGTCTGACGACCTTTTTTTACGATGGCCCTAATATGTTTATTTCTAAAGTGGATAAGAGCCATCAGTAGAAGTCCATATCAGTAGGAAAAAGAAACAGAATATCTCCCTTTTAGTCGGTCGATCGTACACAATGCTTTTTGTTCGGCCTATTTGTTCTGCTTGTTCGTGGGCGCTCGGTTCGTTCGGGCTAAAATGCTCAAGCCTGGACGCACCTTTAGGGACAATACTGTTTTTGTCCTTTATTGATATAATGCTGAAAATCTCACGAGTTACATGTCTCACTCTACACATATTAAATTACATAGACGTAGGATGTAGAATATTCTGTTATGAAACGACTGATGGAATAGCAGGCATCGCGCCGGATTTGAAAAACATGGAAATAACGACGTTATCGTGTAGTCGGGGTTGGATATTTTACTTACTCCATTTACCACACCAGTATTTATTAACGAAAGATCCAAGAATATTTTAAATGCATTATTTAATATTAGAACATTTAATAAGCTCATGAATAGCAACTTCGCTTTTTAGTTAACTCAGATATTTTAACATTTCTGAAACTTAATTATTTCTGAAACAATATTTTCTAATTGGTAAAACGTAAAAAATCGTTAGATCGATCTCTGTTGAAACTGGTCGACAAGTCTGTTGAAACTGGTCGTTCATCTGGCCGCAGCTATAAACGCAATGCATCCGGCCAGCCGACGCGCGACGGCCAGGTTGTTGCGACCTGGTCGTCAGTGAGTTAGAGGCCTTAATGCAAAATATCTACTGAAGTTTATTTCTAAAGTGATCTACTCACGTATCATCGTCAGTCTTTAAAAACCAGTCGGCTTGGTCGTAATAATTTTCATACAAGTATTGCAAAGCCAATCTTGTTTTACCCCACAAATTGTCTCTATTCTCTTCTACAGGCAAAGCAACCGTTGGTATATCATCATCTATAAAATAAGACTGATTTAATTTAAAGCTGTAATTTCAGAATAATTGTGAACCTTCTTTGGTGCTTATAAAAATCAAAGTGTTGCATCTTTGGCCCCATGTGGCTTTTACATGTTTAGCTCTGTTTTGATGGTTTTCCGGACTTGTCGTAACCCAGCACAAAACATTAACTTCTTCATATAATGTATGGGCCACTGTTTTATTTAACATTGGATAAATTACATCAACATCAGTCTGAGCATCGTTTAAATATGAGTCTTGATTCTTCGCTAGTCCATGACTAAAATCACTATATTATATGAAGATGTTGATGATTTCAATATATTTTTTAAGTTACTCGTAGTATTTGTTGTTGTAAATTACTTGTGGAAAGAGTAAAAATAGAAAACAAGTTACAGATACACCAATAATAATTCCAGAAAATAATGGAGTAACGCAAAATAATCTTGCAAGTCTTGTTAATCTATTTTTCTGAAATAAATATATGTGAGTAGTTGCATGCTTAGTTTATAAATATTACAAAACTTACTAGCTCGGGATTAAGACTGGTATACATCGTATAATATGGAACATTAAATGTATTTTGCTAAAATTAGAAGCCAGTTTCTTTTAAGAAATAAATTTTTACTCTTAACATAAAAGATAATGAGTTCGGTTTATTCTCATTGTTTATAGAATAGTTCTTATCGCATTTGTACTTTTTTGTATATTTAAGAATTAATTTAATTTATAAGACTCTTTATCATAATAATACACTAACAAGTAAAAGTTTTCGAAAATATTGTTTCATTAATATTTTATACCGATAGTTGGCCTAATAATGTAATAATTACTATTATTAAATTATTTAAGAAGAAAAAATCGGTATTTAAAAGAAGTGCCATAGTGCATAAAAATCAGCGAAAATACGCTGTTACTGGATAGAATACTGACATCATTCGCAACCAGTGGCGGACTAAGCCTGTCGGGGGCCCGGGGCGGCGAAGCTAAATGTGGCCCCCGGTCTGTTCAGATAATAATATACTTCTAATGCACATTTTGTAAAAATTGAATGACGTATGTATAATGGTTGACAAAATTCAAGTATTTATACAGGGTGTTCCAGGCTGAGCCTGCATTAGAAGTTTCTAGAGAAATACAATATCTAGATACGAGATTTTGTGCCTATCATTGTTTTACAACGATATCTATCGATTAAAAATATTTTTAATATGGCGACACTTTCGGAAGTACTGAAGACATGTGGCTATCTATGTCAAAAATTAAATTGTCCGAATGTCATATAATAATGGCCGCAGCTGTCATGGAATTGAGCGATTAAAAAATTATCATAAATAATTTTTTTTCAAATGGAAATCCACTTTTTTATTTCACTCGTGAAAAGGCCTATATGTTTCTTGATTTTAACCAGTAGCCTATGACAGTATATTATCGATCATTTCCAAGCTAACTTGGCGCTGTTTTTTTTTTTGATCGTACGGTATATTATTAAAATATCAACTATTAGATATCACTAAAGAACGAAAATACGAGATATATTTATATAATATACTTTTTAAACTTTTAAGGCAGCAGTATTTAAATATAGGAAATTCAAATAATTCATTTTCTGACAGATGGAAATAAATTGTCTTCACTGTTTGACACTTAATGTCAAAGGAAGCTAGATAAAATCAAGAAAAATATACGTTTTCAAATTAAATCTTAAATAACTTAAAAACGATTTGTTTTAGGTATAGGAATGTCTAGTTAAAACGTAATCAATTGAAAAACCTTTTCACTAGTGAAATAAAAAAAAGTGGGTTTCCAATGTTTCCATTTGAAAAAAAATATTTATGATAATTTTTTCATCGCTCAATTCCATGACAGCTACCGCCATTATTATATGACATTTGAACAATTAATTTTTGAAATAGAGAGCCACATGTCTTTTCTTTATACCACAGTGGCTGTGATTATCACTAAATTTGACTTTTAGGCTGTACACATTTTTTTGATAAGTAATTTTTTTCGTCCAAAAATTTTAAATATTTTTTTTTAAAAATGATTAATGTTAGTGTTTAACATCAATATTCATAGAATTTTACAGAGAACTTAAGTAAGTATGTAATAAAAAATAGGGGGCACCCATTTAAAATAAGAAAGTTGCTGTCAAATTCCGGTATTTCCGGAAGTGCCGCCATATTGAAAATATTTTTAATCGATAGATCTTGTTGTAAAACAATGGGCGCATTCAGTAAACACACCGGTTACTCCACCGGTGCAGAAAATTAAAGTGAATGCCAATGGTAACTCACCGGTTTGTGGTCACCGATCACTTGAGAGCCTACCGTATTTTGTTTCCGGTTTATTTACGTACCGGTAATTTAATCGTTCAATGAAAAGTTATCGGTAGGTCTTTACCGGTTAATACCGGTGTGTTTACTGAATGCGCCTAATGATGTGCAAAAAACCTTCGATCTAGATATTGCTTAGTTCTCGAAAAACTTCTAATGCACGCTCAGCCTGGGACACTCTTTATAGTGTAATAATTATAATAAAAATCGATTTAGATATAAATATGTTACTTATCAGCAGTGCTGCCTTTACGTAGGGACCTGATGGGCCCTGGCCCCAGGAGTATTAAGGGCCCCAGCTCTCAAAAGGCTGTAGAAAAAGGACAACATCAATTTTTTAAAGCTTATAAATTCCAATCCTAACTGTAAATCTAATAAATTAGAGATATTAAAGTATTGAACATAATTTTGCTAACGAGCCATATACTACCATTCTCGGGCCATGCAGTATTAGATCGGGAAATCCCCGAGCGAATGTTCGCATGTATCTAATGGCAACTTATGATGACAAAGTGATGAAAATACCGGTTCCACATATGAGCCGCGTTACTTTCGCTACCGTTCCAGGGAAATACCGCGACAAAATATCGCCATTTTGTAAGTCCTCCAAGATCCGAGGGGCCTCTTCGCTGTCTCAGGCCCGTGGCCCCCGTTATACTAAAGACTTCACTGCTCATTATCGGTAAAGAAGCTAGAATACAAGTTATGCTGTGCATTGGTTGTAATTTAAAATGATTATTCAGTAAAAATGAATAATGAAACCATTGAAAAATAACTTAAAAGCTAAAATAAATAAATTCAGTCTCAAAATATATAAAAAATAATAATTATTCATTATTTTAAACAAGGAAAATGACCACTTGATTTAATTTCCTAAATAGAAAATGCCATTGACAATTACTGGAGCCTGATAATTGATAATTAAGTAAATATCTGCTTCCATTTATACTGTTTATAGTTGGCGTATACGTATGGTTTGCATACTCCACCTACAAACTGCTTTATAACTACTGAACACATATTGGCTTTGTTTGTCAGTAGAATAAAAAATTACTTATTAAGATTTGGAGGCCCCTTAAAAGACGGGGTCCGGGGCGGACCGCCCCTTCCGCCCCCCTTAGTCCACCACTGTTCGCAACATTGCGTATATGCATTACATGTATTGTTATAGGCTTGGTGCATTTTCCGCCGGTGCTGCCACCATCGCAGAATATCGTAAACAACTAGTATGTATAAATACACGGGTTTAAAGAGCGAGTATGCGAAAAATTTATTATATAATTATTCTAAAAGTGTTAGGAAGTATAATTTGTGAAAATTCTAAAAATAAAAATAAAAAAGTAAATATTTTGATCTCTTCAAAAGGTCTAACTTATATTCCAGCTAAAAAGTTTTTTAGATGAGTTTTGCTAGTGGTGTCATAATTGGGGCTATTTCGGCTATAACGAAATTTTTTAAAGGTACATAATTATAATTTTAGAAGATGTTCATAAAACATTTAGTTGATTAAAAAAAGTATACCATTAATATTGCAAATTATATTTTATCCCCTCATAGTATATGCTTATTTAATTTTTTGACTATGTAACGAGCACTTTGTTTACTCACTTGTTTCGTCGAACTGCTTGAATCCATATTTACTTTTGATCAAATCGGTGTGAGAAACTGTGAAGCTATAAAATGTTTTTTCGGGAGAGTTGAATATCCGTGAAACGAGTTATTGAATGTTATTGCATCTAACAATCCGCCCTAATTACGCTCTCTTTTACGCGTTAACACTGTTTCGGCAATTTTATTAACATTTGAAATTGTCACAACACAAGACGACGCCTAGTTCGGGTTCTTTTTCACTTATCTTTTTACTACCCGAAACAGTGTTACATCACACAAACCTCGTACCTGAGTATTTTATAATTCCAATAACTGCACTAGTAAAAAATCAAATACTTAATTATTATGACAAAACCACGATTTTAATATTATTTCAATACGATCGACGCACAGATAAATGAAACAAGTTTAGATTGGAAAGTGCCCATAAGGACAATGTAAACACTATTTGGCGCTATTTTTGCAACGGTCGCGACCCAAAACTTTTGAAAATTTCGGAGCGGTTCGGCTTTTTCCGGAATTATACCGCCAAATATTGTTTATTCAAATTTATTATTATTTTCGTTTAATTTTATAAATAAAAGACAGTGTGTGTTGCATACAAGAAACTTTATTTTATATAAGGACCCATGTATGAAATACCTATGAAACATTGGAAACCGATGTTATGCCACGATCCACGATGGTTTTTGCAGTTCACAGTTCACAGCACAGCTTTTTAAGTTTTTAATGCCACTTTTTCACAATTATCACCGGTTGGAGTAAATAAAACTTGAATTAAACTCACAAGATAGCAATTATTACTTTGTAAATGGACGCTATAAACACTTTTCGGAATTTCTTTAATGTGAGGGGATTTAGATTTTGAAAAATTATTATGATTTTTGAAGATTCTGACTTTGACAAGAGAAAATTATTTCTGTTTTTGTTTGCCGTTGTTCCTAGCGACCGCTATAGCAGCGCCAGATCGCGTATAACGGTCGCGACCCAAAATTTTTACGGGCTTTCCAATCTAATGGACCGACATAAACGATAACAGGACTGCGTGAAATACTTTCTACCCGGCACATCAAATTTCTGCCGTTGGAGCGCTGCGGTTGGAATTTTTAAAATGTACTGAAATGCACCAAGCCTACTGTACATGGCGAATACCCATCTTAACATAATTCTTGGTTATGCAACTAAATATGCAGAATTAAAATTGTACATAAATAATTAAAAAATTATACTTCTTATTTTACGAATATCCTTAATATAGAATTAATCTAAAACTAATTGATCAGTATCATTTTTCTCTTGACTTTCTTGCTTTTTCCTTTCCTTTTCTGTTTCGACTTGAGCTTGATGCACTTTGGCCTGTTTAATAGCAGTGTATAAAGAAAATAACAAATGTAAAGACTGGATTTTGTTCTTTGTAATTGGAATATTAAAATACGAGCAAACAATATCCGCATATTCTGAAACGGATTGGTCTTCTGACGGTTTAGGAAAGCCGTCAGTTTTTAGTTTTTGCTCCATATGCTCTGGCCATTGCTCCATTAATGTGTCCAAATCAGGCATAGGCCTAAAATATTTAAAAATTACAGAAATCGTTATTTTAATTAGAGTTTTGATAATATTGGAGGCACATCGCGTGTGAATAACGGACATCTGGTGGCGTTATTCTAAGTATTGCCTATAAGTGGTCTTTTGAGCTCTGTACAATTTCAACTTACTGTGAATAGTGAACAATAGGCGATGATTTACTTTTATGAAGATGCGAAATATCTTTTATCCATTTATCTATTACCTTTGTGTTCTTCTCAATATTATCTATTTTTTTGACCACCTAAAAACAATAATTACCTAACAAAACCAGATACGAGACAAGAATCCTTATCTTACAATATTTTTTTGCTCATTTCCTGTAATACCACCATCTGTAGCAGCTCTTAGTTGTAAAAACAATAATGCTGGGTCACTTTGATTAGCTGCAGGTTCATCAAGCACCAGCAAACCCAATTGCAAAATATTTTCATTGAAAATATCCCCAGAAATTGTTTTCTCTGGGGGTACGACCTTTAGAAAAGCATCTATATCACCCACTGCCGGTAAAAATTCTGGTATAAAAGGTTTGAATTTATATTCGGTCGTCATATGCTGTGGAGTATACCTAAAAATATATTTAAAGCAAGCTTGAATATTACAGCTGTTTGATAAATACTTGGAGATGTATTGAAATAACTCGTTAATTTCTGGATCAACTTCTAGATTTTCAAACTGTTGAGGGTCATATTCTCCTGATATTTTTGTTTGTTTAGTCTCATTTTCACTCTCGTCACTTTCGCTACTGTTAAAATTCTTTGATTGATGTGTAGCAGGTTTTTGAGATAAAGCCTCAGGTTTTCTGACCATTTTCTACAGGCAAAAAAGAAACGTTAACAGAAGCCTTAAGAAGCAAATCTCTACCCAAACCTGAGGAATATTCTTTGGACTGTTATTAGATTCTTCTGAATCTGACCCTGCCAAATCTGAAAATTTTTGAATTTCATTTATATTTTCATTATCTCCTTCTAAATCTTCGTCCTACGATAAAAACACTTGAATCATAAAAGTTTAAATTAATAAATGCAATTTATTCTACATCAACAATTGAAAAAGATCTTTGCATTTTGCAGGCTTTAAAATTATTTTCATTTGTTTATATCGCCGTTGCCTAGACAACGGATTCAAAAAAATCGATACAGTACACAAGCTCATCACTACTAGAAGGCCATAGAAAACGAAAAGGCTTTGGTTTTTTTGGTCATAGATAAAGGTGGCTTTGATATAATCGTGACATTCGTGAATATGACGTACGGGCACTCTATCATATATAAAAATTACATTTTCAATTCAACAAATTTGACAATTTGTTCTAACCTCACAAATTTTTTGACAAATGAGACAAAAACAAAAACACAAGTATCTTAAATGATAAACTAGAAAAATGTGGTTTTTTACTTTAATATGTTATATAGCAATATTAGTACAAGTAATATTTATTACAGTTTCAATAGGTTTGTTGACTGAGATGTTTTCAGGTCTTATATTTCTATATATCAATTTTTTTTAGCTGCTGGTTTATATTATTTGGCTGAACTAGTAGAAGAATACACTTCTTATGCTAAAAAGATTATTTGGTGGATGAACACTGTAAGTTAAGCTTATTAATATTTAGACTAAAAGTCTTTATATATTTAATTTTAGATTATAACAGTTTTATATATACTCTTATGGATATTCGAAGACTTACCCACATCAATGACTGTATGTGGCATTCTAGCACAACTGTGCCATTTTGTGATACTATCCAACTTTCCTTTTGTAGCATTTACGTCTCCTTTCTTTATAATTAGTGTGATATTTGTTGTTATTAATCATTATTTAGCATTTAGGTATTTTTCATCTACCTATCATCCATTCTCAGAAGTAAGTATAGCCTTATATATACAGGCTTTATTTATCTTTATATTTACTTTTTTGTTGTTTCAGGTAATTGCTTATTTTACACTCTATTTGTGGCTGGTGCCGTTTGCTTTATTTGTATCATTATCAGCTAATGATAATGTGTTACCTACATTAGCAGAGCGACAAGGTAGTATTTATACTTTATATCTGTTTTTTACTATAACCTTTTTTTAATAGATATCGATGTTGTGTCTAATTATTTATCAAAAAGGAACAAGAAATATGGACTACTAACTCTGTTTACCTATGCAAAAGAGTCTTTACTACCAATCAGAACAAAGAAGGGTTTTTGAGTTTTTTTATCTGACCATTTTTTATATTGGTTAAATGAGTATTTTGTACATATATAAGTTCTAATTTATTAATTACTAACTGAACTGAATAAAATTATTATGTTACATGTCTGAGTTTTATTCAAGAGTGTGGGAATTAAAAGAAAAGTTAATAACAAAAATTTATTAAATACTTAATCGATAATACAATGTGTAGATATATATTTATAATAGACAATAAAAAATAATCAATATGACTGAAGAAAATTCCATAAGATCCTCGAATCTTAGTAGTCAATGTTCTTCACTACACAAAGAGTTCTAGTATTTTCACCGTCTCAACCTGAACACGGGGTCGTATAATTTCCTTATGATTTTTTTCACGCAAAACAAGTCACCGTGCTCTAAGTGATTGGTCAGATAGCTTAAACTCGTGTCGTTGAGATAGGTCTTGAAATTGTTTACGAAATTGCTGCTGATTTCGGCGTTTTCCAAAAACTTATACATAGACTTTAAAACACATATCACAGACATTTTTGTTTTTGTCAGCATCATGGGCGAGTCGTACTTCATTAGGGAATCCAGAAGGATCGAGGTGACGATCTGGGTCTGTTCCTCCGGAAATATCGACTTGTCGTCGTAGGACAGGCCCTCGGGGAGGGTCCATAACATTTTGATCAAGACCCTCGAACAAATGTCGATTAGAGGGGTATTTTCAGCGTACTGGTTGAGACCGCCCCTCTCGAATATCTGCTGCAATAAATATAAGAATAAATAACACACTAAAAACGGCTAGATAAAAAAATAAGTAGTTCAAACTGAACAAATTCTTAAACCACATTAATTTTGAATTATAATAACATTATAGCCAGTTAGCTTTAATGACGTCGATATGGCTATATCTGATTTAAAAAATAGTAATAGCAAGGATCCAGATGGAATAAACAGAAAAATTATTAAAAGAATAAAAAATATATTAGTTCGGCCTTTAGCGCTATTAATAAACCAATCTATAGCTTGCAATATATTTCCTAAGGTTTTCAAGACTGCAAAGGTGGTTCCCCTCTTTAAAAATAAGGGTTCAGTTGATGACTGTAACAACTATCGCCCCATATCTTTGCTGCCAATTTTATCTAAGGTTTATGAACGTATTCTAAAGAATCAAATCAATGAACATTTTGAGTTTAATAAACTATTCGCCATTAATCAATTTGGTTTTCGAAAAAACAAAACCACAACATTAGCGATTGACAGGTTTACCAGTGGTATATTGGAAGGGTTTGAGAGGTGGCTTGATACTCTTGCATCATTTTTAGACCTTACCAAAGCTTTTGACTGTGTTACGCACATCATATTGTTAAAAAAATTAATATCCTACAACTTTCAGGACGATGCTGTTCAATTACTAAAGTCATATCTCTCTGACCGTGTCAATATGTTCATTTCAACCAATGCAACTCAGAAAAACAACCCCTGAAGTATGGTGTGTACCTCAGGGATCTGTATTAGGCCCCATCTTGTTCCTTATTTATATAAACGACCTAGCATACTGCCAGGGAGGGGGAGTCAACACTGTTTTGTTTGCCGATGACACAACCTTTTACATAAGTTACCACCCCTTAGAGATTGACAATCTTGATTATCACACTTCACTAGAAAACCTAAATCAATGGTTTCTAGCTAACCGTCTATCTTTAAATCACTCTAAATCGCAAAGTATGAACTTTACTCTAAGAAACAATATTAATTTTGATCACCCTGTACTTCATCATTGTGCAACAGAAGCCAAGTTTCTTGGGGTGCACTTAGACACAGGACTGACCTGGGAGAACCACCTTGTCAACCTGTCAAAAAAATTATCAAAAGAACTTTTCCTGTTTAGAAATCTTGTGCAGATAACCTCAAGAGAAACTCTTCTCACAGTATATCATGGCAACTTTCATTCCCATCTGACTTATGCTATTCTTTGCTGGGGTCATTCTTGTCATGTCAATAAGGTTTTTGCGCAGCAGAGGAAGTGCGTGCGTATTATTGCAGGGGTGGGTTACAGGGAGGATTGTCGTAATTTATTTAAAAAATTTAAGATTTTAACTTTGCCCTGTGTGTACATTATGCAGTGTTTGTTGTTCGTCAAGCAAAATCTTGATCTATACAGGTCACATGAATATTTTCACAGCTACCCAACAAGAAATAATAGCAATCTTGTACCGGACTTTTGCCGGCTTGAGAGATCCAAGAATGGTTCAAGATATTTGAGCATAAAGTTTTATAACCTGGTACCAGCTAGAATTAAGGCTCTTAATTTTAATCAGTACAAAACAGAAATCAAAAACTACCTTGTGATTAATGCATTTTTTTCTTTTGAGGAGTACTTCAGTTCCAGCTTTAGTCTGCGATTTCATTTGTTTTGTCTATGTTAGTGTTTGTGTGTTGTATCTGTTCATTTATAACATATATTTGACATACATATTTGTTTTAATTTTAAGGTTTTAATGATTTTTCTATTGGTTAATTGTATAAATTTTATTTTATAAAATTTGTGTATTAATGATGCAATGTAGAAACAATAAAAAAAAGTATAGAAACTAAATTTTTATCAATTTTTATAATTTTATATATATATATTTTTTTTGACTTGTAAAAATACTTTTCTTGTATGTTATTACTAATAAATAAACTAAACTAAACTAAACTAAACATTCGTTTACTTTCAAAAAAAATTGTGTGTGCACTATGTGCGCATATTTGAAGTGAAACTTCTTACTAACAGCTATTAAATTGGAGGATTTGTAGGATATGATTGTAAAACTGTTTAATATAAATGTTATTTTCAATTTATTTCAGTAATCTGTACATTTTCCTCAATAGCCTGCAAATCTTGTGAAATATCACCCAAAATACACACTTATGCAAATGCCTAATGTTAACGCTTAAATTTATTTAAGAAGAGAAAACATTTTGAACCTAACCAACAATGGCAACAATTCGTATTTATCTTTGGTATTTATAGTGGTTTACTGTCATTTTGTTAAAATATACAAATATTCTCTTTGATTATTGGTTTCAAATAGATTAGACGATGCGAGTTGCTTAACTCTACCAATTCTAATTCTGAGCTAGAGTAAACGCCACGAATGTTTGAGTGATTCATCGCTTGATGAAGTTAGAATCGACACGCGCGCTATCATTTTTACATTAAAACGTAAATTTTTACCGCAGACGTAGGTTTTTAAAGGCCCGGTCTAATCATATGCCTGCGCTCCTCCTACTTATTCTAAAATGTTAGCGTGATTGACAAAGACGATACTATATCGTGTTTCTTTGATTGATTCGTTTTTGTGCAGTCAGTCCATTGGTGTGCTTGCAGTGCGATCAATGGGGCATTTCATTTTATATTTATAACCAAATATATATAAAGACTTTGACAGTTAAAACAACAAATTACAACAGATTATATATTGATTATTATATGACTTGAAACACCACGGCACTGGAATTAAGTTTTATATAACCTTGAACAGATTAGTTCACATGGTAGCGACCGATGAATCACTCCCAAACATTCGTGGCGTTTACTATAAATGCTTTACCTAGACCTTTGAATAAGAAGACTAAGGAAGGAGCATATCAAAAATCTTAGGTACACCGCGATGGGCCTCAAATATGGCCGACTTAAATTCCGGTTTATCAGTGTCGTTCTAATTTTATTTAAAAAATGTAAAACTATGATGTAGGGTAGACGTGGTGTGACTCAATACTTTGTTGTTTTATTTTACGTTGTGAATAAATGTTGGTAGTTATTAAAATTGTTATAAAAATAGATAAGTTATAATAAGTATTTATTAACACAAACATCCGATGCGCTACTGAAGCAGGTAAGTCAAATTAACGTATCTAAATTCTTTGACATCTAATCTTTGACAAGTAATAAATAAAAGCTAAAATGCAAGAAAAATATATAATTTAGTTAATTTAAGTGAATTTCATAAATGATCGGTTTACTACACGTATGTGTATATTATATAGTCACTTACTAGCGAAAAGTTGTTCCATTATTTCACTCAATTTTTGCAGAGAGCTACCGCACGCTACACAACCAACTATTTTAGAGTCTTTTTCGATAAATCGCGATAGTGTCACTGTTAATTTAAGTTCTGCCACAATTTCCATCTAGATTTACTACCTTTATACAACTATCAGTAGTAGAATAAATAATAAATAACATAAAATAAGCTCCGTAAAGACTGACAAATCCACAAAATTTCAAATCAAATTCAAATGTGTCAAATGAATTGTCAAACAGAACTGTCAAGGATCCCCACCCTAGAGTGCTTTTTCCGCCCACCATGCATGAATACATGGATAGCATTATGCTCCTTCCTTAGTCTTCTTATTCAAAGCTTGAGACTGAATAAATAAAAATACATAGTTCAAATGTACCAAATATTTGCTAGTTAAATTCTTAAGCCATATACAGGGTGGTCCGAACTGTATTCCGGAAACTTCGGCAGCATATTTTACTGATAAAAATAAGTAAAAAAGTTCATATAAATGCTTAGTTTCGGAGATACATGTAGAAGTTTCATTTTGTAGCAACTTTCTTTAGTTAAATTTCGATTACTGTTTTACTGGATAAAAACACCAAAAAATAATATTATTTTTGCTTATACAGGGTGGTCCGAACTGTATTCCGGAAACTTCGGTAGCATATTCTGCAGATAAAAATAAGTAAAAAAGTTCTTATAAAGGTATGTCCTAAAATGCTTACTTTTAGAGATACAGGGTGTAGAAGTTTCATTTTTATTTCGATTTTTTCTAAATAATTTCTGAAGTAACGTCAATATTTGGATGAAAATTGGCGTCTGGGAGTTTTTTGGCATGAGAAATTTGATTTTGGTGTCAATATGGCTCCTACTAGTAGAGGGCGCCACCTACATGTGTTTTAACTGTTTTGAAGCGTAATAACTTTTTGTCCGTACCTGTATAAAACTACCGAGCGAAAAATATACATCTCTGTGACTTTTTACGTAAAAAATATCTCTTTGTAAAAATCGCTATGAGCAACCGTTCTTAAGATATTTAGAATGGAAATAGACAATACATGTAATTATTGACGAAAAAATAAACACGTTGAATAGATAGTTATTTCACTAAAATAATAAATTGAGGAAACTTTTATTTTTTTAAATTAATCATAACTTTTTCTGCAAAAAATTACGATAAAACAGTTTCTGTTGAACTTTTGACACAAAAACAATTCAAATTTATGATTTCAGTCTAATAACTACCGTATGATCGAATAAAAACGGCGTCAGCGATTGCTATGAAATGACGATCGATGACATTTCCTATATAATTTTACATATAAAATGACAGCGATCTTCATTTCATAGCCATCGCTGACGCGGTTTTTATTCGATCATACCACAGCTTAAGTAAAAAACAGCTCGGACAGTGTAGCGTGCCGCTTTGATCTTTTTACGCTCGGATTTGCGATTCGAAAGAGGGAGAACACTAGAGCGGCGAGCTCTCTCGCCACAACCAATAGCCGCGTAAGCGGCAGTCAGTCCAGAGATGTATTAAAAAAAAATTTACACGTGACGTAAAAAAATATTCGACAGGTGCTAGAACATAATTTAGATACACGTTTTTTAAATTGTTGACTTTAAATAAATATGCATTCTCAAAGAAAAACATTTAAAAAACAAATTAATTAATTTATTTCTAGAAATAACAGCAAAATGAAATAGGTACATTGATTACTTATAGTTATTTACGAATGTTTCCAAATTAGAGCTTTCGGTTTTTGTTTGCTACATTTAAGTTCTTATTAATATTCTTTAAGGTATTAATAAATTAACTTTTGCGTATAATTTTAACAAAAATACATTATAGGAAAATTTTGACAAGGATGGTTGAATTTAATTGTCTGAAATAATTTAACGAATTTACATAATATATTTTCATTTAAGGAAAGTTCTTCAAAATTGTTCTGATAAATTTTATAAAAAGCTTTTTAAAAACAAGTTTTTATTTAAATACACTAAAAAGAATAAAATAAACTTTTTCTTTGAAACTTTTATTATGAACTTATAACGTCATTACACAATTTTAATATTAATATATAAAAGCTTGCCGCGAGATTTGAGTGTACAGTTGCACTCATAAAAATCTGGTACGACAACTTTATCTTCTAATTCCTGGTCTAGTGGTCTATCATAACACAAACTTTGAAAATGAGACAGGGTAGACACAGGTTTTAGTTAATTTACTTGTTTATCGATGTAGAGAAATCTCGCGACAAGCTTTTATATAATATTAAAATTGTGTAATGGCGTTATAAGTTCATAATAAAAGTTTTAAAGAAAAAGTTTATTTTATTCTTTTAGTGTATTTAAATTTAAATAAAAGCTTGTTTTAAAAAAAAAGTTTTTTTGTAAAATTTATTTTCTACTTTTTAGTTATGCTGGTTTCTCAGTGCCACACATTTAAACTCAATTTTTTTCTTAAATAACTTTCTATGGGCATCCTAATAATATGTATATTGATTTTCATTAAAAAAGGAGAACTTAAAATAAACGACAGCTGTCAAATTTTCAGTTCAGTCATTCGACAGTTCAAATGTGAGACAAATAAAATGAAAACCGACTATGGGGTAGGGGGCATCCAATATATCGATTTTTATCAAAATCGGACAAATTTGAAATTTTTTTGACAGCTGTCAAGTTTGACAGCTCAAAATTTTTTTCTTTCATTTTAGCCCATGGCCATCATCGATTTTTATCAAAATCGGACAACTTTGAAATTTTTTTGACAGCTGTCAAATTTGACAGCTCAAAATTTTTTTCTTTCATTTTCGCCCATGGCCGTCCTATATATCAATTTTTATCAAAATCGGACAACTTTGAATTTTTTTTGACAGCTGTCAAATTTGACAGCTCATCATTTTTTTCTTTCATTTTAGCCCATGGCCATCCTATATATCAATTTTTATGAAAATCGGTTGACTTTGGAATTTTGACATGTCATTAAACTGTCATTTTTTTAAGATGGCCGTCCATATACTTTTTTCATATGTATATACCCACAATATACCAATATATATAATTTTAGCCCGATCCATTCATAAATAGAATTTTAAAAAATCAAAAACCTCAAAAATGCTGCCATTTTGACAGCTGTCAAAAATTCGGGTCATGCCTTGCAAAAAATGTATTGTCATCGGGTCTGAACCTACATGCCAAATTTCAATCTCCTACAATAAAAGGAAGTGGTTCTAATTTAGCTTACAAGATTTGCCCCGCAAAAACATACATACATACATAGATAGTTACATACAAAGCTTATAAAAATAGCCTCCAATGAGGACACTAAATAAAAAAATGGTCACTTGGCATTAGCAAGCCTCCAAATAAGTGGTCTTTATCGTTTTGAAAAGCTCTAAAGTGTGAATACTTTTGAATTGAACATTAATTTTGAATTGAATTGAAAATTAAACAGACTATATTTTGAATTATTTCCATAATTATTTGTGTAACCAGCAGCCGCACATCCCGGAAAACCTTTTCCCATTCCAACAATAAAAATAAAATTGAAATAAAAGCACAAATACCTATGGTTAAATATAAGAAAAAATCGAATTAAAATCTTCGGTAATACGGCCCTACTCGTCGCCGGTGGAGGTTATGCATCGACTGAATGAGGCTGACTGTCGCTCGCTTAATTCAGTTAAGCATCGTCGGAGTGGGGCGTTTTAAATTCGAGCGTGGGAAAAATTGGCGAGTGTCCAAGCTATATTATTCTGTAAGCTGTGTTAGTCAACATGTTTAATTTATGTCAATGATGACAGGTATTGATAATTTCGATTCCAAATATCTCGAAAACAATTACTCGTAGCGATTTTTACCAAGAGACCTTGTTCACGTAAAAAACGCATTCGCTTTGTTTTACGTAAATGTATAATTTTTACTCAGTAGTTTTATACAGGTACGGAGGAAAATTTATTACTCTTCAAACCAGTTAAAAATATGTAGGTGGCGCCCTCTACTAGTAGGAGTCAAAGGTAGGAGTCATATTGATATCAAAATCAAATTTCTCATGTCAAAAAACTCCTAGACACCAATTTACCATATCAATACACCATCCAAATATTGACGTTATTTCAGAAATCATTTGGAAAAGATCGAAATAAAAATGAAACTTCTACACCCTGTATCTCCGAAACTAAGCATTTTAGGACATACATTTATACGAACTTTTTTACTTATTTTCATGTACAGAGTATGCTGCCGAAGTTTCCGGAATACAATTCGGACCACCCTGTAGAATAGCGATTTAAAAATAATAGGTAAAGCGATTCTTCAAGAAAAAAAATTGTAAATATACTAACCTCAGATGGTTCACATGACGGGTCCGGAAAATACCTACAAGCCCAAGAGAAAATCAGACAAACGGCTTTTCTCCTGGGTAACAATACCGTCATCAAATGAATCAGATCTTCCTTGGCCTTTTCAGGGACCACTGGCCACCGGTGTCCAGATCTGCAATGATTGAATTTAATTTTGCAACTTCGGCACACTAAATCGGTAATAATTAGCTTACATTGTTTGGTTGAGAAAGTTGTTGATTTTAATTTTGACTTTCAAAGCGTTCTCGTAGTTACTCATGGCGTTCCTTACATCCAGATCTTCGTCTTCTAGTAACACCATAACTATATTGATGACGGTACACAGTTCATCGCCTAAAATAATGGTTTATACAGGGTGACCCACTGTTCCAAGACAAAATATACTACTGTTTGAGATTTTCACTACACTTTTTTTTAAATAATATGTGGGCAAAGTTGGGCACATTTTAAAAATATTTCTACTTATAGGCTAGGCGCATTCTTGCCGGTGCTGCCACCATCTGAGAATATCGAAAATAACTGATATACAATGTTACAGTAAACGTTGGAAATCAGTGATTGTTAACAATTACTAGTAAAAGCTCACATTGACTGATTTGCTACGACTACGCCAGTAAAAGTTCAACAGCTATTTTTGAAACCAACTTTTACTAATAAAAGCATTCCCTGGACGATAGCAGTGAGTTTGAAAGATTTAGTTAGCGCGGTTGCCACACGTTGTAAAATATAAGGATAAGTTGAATAATAGGCAATATAAGGATAACATTAAATTAGGCTAAACGTTGGCAACGTTGACAGACCTCTGGCGTAAATTCACTTTGTTTTTTGTGGTTATGTATAATTTTTTATTTATCGTTGTAAAAAGTGCTGTGCGGTATTTTCCCTATGGAAGAAATTTTCTGTAAACAATTAAGGTAAACTAGGCACTCGCAAGAATGTATTAGTGCTTGTTTTTCATTGTTGCAATATAATGAAGTCATAGCAAAAATTAAGCTTGCAAGAGAAAAAGATATTAAGGAACCTAGTGACTATGAACTTATTAAACGTTTTGATATGCTTGAAGTGGCGTGTTTGAAAAAACGAATAACTCCCGTTGAAGAAAATTCGGGCATACTTTATTTTGTCCACGACGAATAACTTTATTAAAAAAACCTTGTACCAATAAGTGATCTTTGAATGTTTTTTCTAATTGTTTTGTTCACCTTCAAATGTTTACTATGCTTTTCCTTTTAATATTTAGAAGGTCGTTATATATGTCGTTATTTTCTAAAATTTTTAATAAATATACTAAAAAGGTAAATTGTAATTTTAAGATATGTGGATGAGCTTGAATATTGAGGTGATCCAATATTCTTAAAAGTTTAAATAATAATAACTTTAACTTTTTTAAATCTCTTTAAAATACCACATTCACTGGTCCATTGCGTAATTGCTAGCATTTCCTAATGTTAGCTATCACTGAATTTCCTACTTTCACTGTAACATATACAAATACACGGGTTTAAATAGCGAGTATAAGAAAAAATTACTATATAATTATTCTAAAAGTGTTAGGAAGTATAATTTGTCTCTAAAAATAAAAATAAAAAAGTAAATATTTTGATATGTTCAGAACTTCAGAAATTTCTTCTTCAGAAAATTGAAAATGTAAAATCTCAAAAAGGGAATCTGATTTTCAGTTCTGTTAATTTTTTTTTGGAACAGTTAGTCGCCCAGTATATGGTGTGCCCAGATTTTTTTAGTATTCAGAAATAATTGTAAGATAGCAGACGTTTTTGCACATTGTTATTTCTTAAACTGGAAATACATAGGAATTAAGCAAATTTCCTATGTTCAAAATTTCAGAGAGCCCTCACTTTAATGACATTTGAGCGGAATAGTAATATATTATCTTGAAACGTATATTTATACTAAGGGCTGGCAAAGGTTAGTCTTGGGTCGATATCTCCGTATGTATGAAGAGTACAATGCGTTTAAAATGTACTGAACAAAGAGACAAAACAGTAAACACGTTGCCAAACGTATGTAATAAACCGAGAAACTCCACATTGCTAAGAGACGTGGTAGGGGATATAGCAGATCTGTCGCAGTCGACTGGTCGACCCAATCAATACCTTTGTCAGTACTTAAAGTTCTAGGGTAAGTGTGTACATCATGCATTCAGCTTCACGATTTAATTACGTCTCGTAATTCTTTATTTGTTTATTTATTAACGAGTCGTTGTAATTTTCTCTCTATAGCTTGAAAAATTTTAACTGCGTTAGAAACACTTGCATTTTGGATAAAAATAAGTGGAATTGAGTTGGTGTTCGACAGTGGTCGCGCTATTAGAACTCTGAATTCAAAAATTGATATCTCGAAATCCATTAGAAATAATTGATTGTAGTTTTTTTCAAAAACTTTCTTAACATCTCTGCTATATTTTCTTCGCAGACAGTATATGAAAATACCGGTCTTCAAAATAAAAAAAAAAGTTTCAATATCTAAAGTGGTTCTTAAGTTATGGCGTGTTACATGTTAAAAAGTTGAGTTTTTAAATTATCGCAATTACTGATGTTTTCTCGTTATGAAAAAATGGACACTCTAACGATATCCCTATAATTCCATTTCAGATGCTCAGAAACATATCTAATGATTTTTTCTAGTTATCTTTTCGAAAAAAAGTCTTTTAAAAATAAGCGGTTTGCGATCGTGATTTTACTTTACTTGATAGGGAAAGGCGTATCGGCAACGCCGCAACAGCACATCGTCGCATTTCTCTCACTCCGACTTAATAAGATCCCTATGCGATTTACTTCCACACATGTAAATACCAACCCAAAAGTAACAGTTGCCAGCTCGGTATTTGAAATAAAATGGGTGCATTTCAAAAGTGACTCATCCCTATAACTTTTTTATTTTTTTAGATAAAAACAACGAGATTTGGTATGATAGTATATGACATAAATTAGTTTTTGGTCACTTCCTGTTTCACGGGAAATGATTACAACTTTTGATTTTTAAATGACATTCTCGGTATTTTTTTACTTTATTCAATAGAAAATGACACTCTGAATAGAATGACATATCATATGTCAACTTTTGTCATGCGACTCATAACGACAATTTGACTCGAAATACCAAGTGTGTGGTACCAAATTATTTATAAAAAAATGCTTTTTCCAAAACAACATTTTATCAAAAAAAAATTAAAATACAATTTTTTTAAAGCAAAAATATCAAAAGTTGATATTCTATTCAGAATGTCATTTTTTATCTAATAAAGTAAAAATATACAGTGTAATTTAAAAATCAAAAGTTGTAGTAATTTCCATTTCCATTTATGTCATATACTAACATACCAAATCTCGTTTTTTTTATCTAAAAAAAATAAAAGTTATAGGGGTGAGCCACTTTTGAGGCGAACCCGTATAACACAGAAAATGCAGAAATTAAAGATGCTTTCACTCCTATAATCTATATTCGATAAAATAAAATAATAACCTTTTAAAACGGGCTCTTCGTTACAGTATAACGCTGAATTCTTGCAGAGGAAGTCGCACACCGTCAGCCTACGATGCACCGCAGCGGCCGGCGACGCGGACTTTGCTAATACTTCCAAAAGTTTATCATATCTAAAAATAACTTTTACATAACACACAAACCCTCAGTAATACCTTAAATATTCTTACTTTAAGAGAGTGTAGTCGACCTCCATTAAAAACGTACTTATACAGCTTATCACAGCACTAATGAGCTCTTCATTATCACAGTCGCAGTAGCTCAGCAGAGCGTTGAGCGTCTCCTGTTTGCTTAACCTCAAAAATTTGATGGCGCAAGGGTAGAAATCCAACAGGAGGAAAAACAGGACCCTATCTTCGCTGCAGATGTTGTGTTGGATCTTTAGTTCTTCGATTAGGAAGGTTTTCAGGTAGGGATGGATGTGTTTTAGGATGTTTTCCACAGAAGTTCTGGAGAAACTCGTCACCAAAGTGGTTATGGAGGGCCTTATTTCAACGTCTCCTGTGTAGAATAAGGGATGGTTGTCTATTTCTGCTTCGGAGTTGATCTACAAGAGGGTTAAAGGTATTTTTTAATCAGGGTGGTCACCGTAAATAGTATGGTGAATTAGCCAGTGGTCGGACAAAACGTATTTATTGGGAAATAAGTTAAAAATATTATCAGTATTGCTTCAAATTACTAAAAACCCAATTCTTCTGCTTTGTTCTATAACATCTTCTTTGTCCAAATTGTCACTCTGAAACCATTAAAAATTCTGGAAAGTGACCACATGTTTGTGCTTCCTAATTTTTGCCTGTTAAAGGTGGAGGCGAAATAGTTTGTAAGGTAAGTTAAAAATTTTGTATCTAATTTATGAAGTACTTATAACTTTACGTGTATGTAGAATAGTCTTAACTTTTATTTCAAATAAAAAAAGATACTTTTTAATATTTTAATGTTAAATTTAGGTGTCCGATAAACTCGTATACTTAATTTTGTTTTAAGTTCAGTAGTCGGGGAAAAATAATTCTTTTGTTTTAGTTTTTTATTGATAATTGATATGTAATATCTACTGTCTTTTTCGTTTGAAATATAATGAAAGATGAGTTTTTGACAGTGTTTAGTGGTCGGACAGCAAAAACCCAACACAAACGCAGATCAAAGGAAATAAAAGTTGTCCGAACACTGGTCAATGCTAAATTTAATATATTTGAGAGGTCGGGTTCAGACTGATTTTTTATGAGATTTTGGTTATTTTCAAGCACGAAGCCTAAAATAAACGGGAGTTTTCATCAATACAATAAAGGTGCATTAGAAAAAACATTCGAAACTGTCCGAGAAGAGGGAAAATAGCGTAAAACATGCAGTAAGTACAGGGTTCCAAGTAGTGGTGGGCAAAACTGTTACTTTTAGGTAACAGTTGAAACTGTTACAGTTATTTATAAAAAGCAGCTTAAAATAACAGCTTAAAAATAACAGGTTTCTTTATTTCCTCTTATAAAGACAATCCGGGGACATACTGTATAAACAAGGGTAATATCTAATTATTATAGTATTTCAAGAGATTATTTTTTCTTAGTGCGATTCCAAATAATTTGAAGTCTGTATAATTTAGCCTTTACTTGTTTTAGAAGTTGAAAAGTAATATCTTTATTTAGTGTATTTTTAGTATCTATCGTTTGTTGTATCATTATCTCTGAATAGTAAATTTGTTTTTTGAAGAGCTTTAAATCGCAGCAAAACCAACGAATATACATTATTTAAAATTAATATTATACTCAATGTGTTTGCTACCTTTTAAACAGTCTTTTCTTAACATAGTGTTTTTATTCTTATCACCATCTATAACAGTAATAGTCTTAGACAGTGGTGAAAAATACAAAACTATTACTTTGCAACTACTGTATTGTAATAAAATTTAAGACTGGGAAAATTTAGAAAAACTCAAAACTTTTTTTTTTCTAAAGCATTTCTTTAGAAAAACATAGTACATATTACTAAATCGTTAATTAAATTATTATTTCCATTTTTTATTAGGTACTTCTCATTATTATAATAAAATTAATTAATCACTAAATTTCTAAGCACCATTCACAATTTCTTAAAGTAAATCTTATTAAAATTGTCTTTGAAGAGTTTTAAAATGTAGCAAAAACAATGAAAGTATATATTTAAACATATTAATAAAAATAACTAACTAACTGAAACTTAATAACTAAGTACTGAAACATACAGCGCCATAATATCTCGACCTCCGCCCGTTATGCTCGTAACAGGTTGAAAAACAATGTATCTAAAACAACTGATGCGTTATTCTCCAACCTGTTTCGAACCTCCATCGACAATCGGCCGATGCAGCAGCGTTACTTTCCCACTCCGATTATCTCGACCGCCACCTGTTATGCTCGTAACAGGTTAAAAACCAACGTATCTAAAATGACTGCTTATTTTCTATATGTTATTCTCCAACCCGTTGCGAGCCTCCATCGACAATCGACATGCAGCAGCAGCAGCAGCCTTAGTTTCCTACTCCTGTTATCTCGACCGCCAGGCGTTATGCCCGCAACTGTTTCAAAAAAGCTGCTTCTTTTATATATCCTATTATTTTTAAGCTGTTGCAAGCCCAACACGACCATCGTCCGATGCAGCTACGTTCGCCGTAGCGCATTCCCCACTCCGTTGTCCGTTGTATCTCGCCGCCTGTATCGATGGTTGTCGAAATAACATGTTTTCCATTCATACTAGTTGTTTTTTGGAATTGCTTAGAGCCGTATAGAATTTCGTGGCGGTGCAGAGCGCCGACTTCGTTTCACGAGCGGTCGATCTCTATACGTGTCGTTATTTTATATCTGTAAACCGTATTAAAGACAAATAAGCAACGTTTGCAAACGAATGGGACCAGAACTTGTTTTAACCAGAGAGATTGAAAAAAAAATTGTTACCTGGTATTGAAAACTTAGCCGTTTGCGGATTTCCAATAAAATGAAACAGGTGTTACTTAATACAGTTGAAAAAATCATATCTAGAAGAAGCAAAATTGAAAACGCTGTTGATGCTAACATGGTTAGCAAAACGCGCGTCCAGTGTAAAAGTAAAAGTGTCTTGGTGTATTGTGGTGATTTAGTGTTTTATTCTGCTGTGTAACACCAAAGGTTCCAACCCCCAACTGTAATCTGAGTATTTTGAAGCCAAATGATTTGATTTTTAGAAATTGGGAGTGACGGGATCGTTGGAAGACTACTAAAGATACAATTTAAAATTATTTTCAAAAGGCACAGAGTGGCATACACTTTTAACAAGAAATAATTTCAAATTTCACTATTTTTGCTTATTTCTCTGCGACCATATACTTACTATAGCATTATCTGATTGATTGTGATATAGATGAATCTGATTCAGCTTGATCAGTAATTCCAAAAAAAACCTCTTCATAGAATTCTCGTGTCCGTACATATAGGACATGATCTCATTGGTTACAGTTGAGTATGTCGTTTCAGTCTCTTCGAATTTGTTATTTATTATATAGTAGGCTAAGACAGTTCTCGTTGAAAGAAAGTTTTCTTGCCAGGTTAAAGGTACATCGCTTGTTTTTCCCTGTTTTGAGAGGTGTAGGAGAATGTTTTTTAACAAAGGAACATCGTCAAAATTACTGCAACTATAAAAGAACATTATTAATTTGTACCGGGTTTGTTTCTATAAACGTCTGGAAATATAGCCACTAAAATTAAAAAAATCGTGAGCCTAGAGTTCCATATAGCGTTTTAGATGAAATATTATAATGATATTCCCAGAAGCTTGTAGATATAAATAACATTTTAATGTGTAAATATATTTAAAATTAATAAAAAAAAACTTACATTTGTAATAATAATGTGATAAGTTCTGTGTAAAGATTGACAGTCATATGACTGAATTTTTTTCCTGCTAATTCCCAAATATGTAAACTCTGTGTCAAGTAACTTGCCAGCGGTAAGTCTCTGACAATGTTATATTTTAATATATAGCACATCTTAAAAAAACATTAAATATTCTAATTACATATATTACACAGGGTGGTCCGAACTGTATTTCGGGAACTTCTGCAGATAAAAATAAGTAAAAAAGTTCGTATAAATGTATGTCCTAAAATGCTTAGTTTCGGAGATACAGGGTGTAGAAGTTTCATTGTTATTTCGGGGTTTTCCAAATAATTTCTAAAGTAACGTCAATATTTGGATGAAAATTGGAGTGTGGGAGTTTTTTGACATGAGAAAATTGATTTTGATGACAATATGACTCCTATTTGTACGGGACGCCACCTATATGTGTTTTAACTGCTTTGAACAGTAATAACTTTTCGTCCGTACCTGTATAAAACTAGAGTGAAAAAATATATAATTTCGTGACTTTTTACGTAAAAATTGTCTCTTGGTAAAAATCGCTACGAGCACTGTCAAGATATTTAGAATGGAAATAGTCAATACATGTCATTATTGACAAAAAATAAATATGTACGTTTGTTTGGAAAATTTTTATATTTTAAATTAATTTTAAATTTTTCTGCAAAAAAATGATGATAAAACAGTTTCTGTTGAACTTTTGGAACAAAAACATTTCAAATTTATGATTTTACTTTAATAACTGTTTAGTCAACATGTTTAATTTATGTCAATGATGACAGGTATTGATAATTCCGATTCCAAATATCTCGAAAACCATTAATTGTAGCAATTTTTATCAAGAACCTTTTTTACATAACAAAAATCGTAAATGTATATTTTTTTTACTCAGTAGTTTTATACACGTACGGACAAAGTCATTACTCTTCAAACCAGTTAAAAAATATGTAGGTGGCACCCTCTACAAGCAGGAGTCATACTGATATCGAAATCAAATTTCTCATATCAAAAACACTTAGACATCAATTTGCACCCAAATATTGACGTCACTTCATAAATTATTTGGAAAAAATCGAAATAAAAATGAAACTTCTACATCCTCTATCTCCGAAACTAAGCATTTTAGGAAATACATTTATACAAACTTTTTTACTTATATTTATCTGCAGAATATACTGCCGAAGTTTCCGGAATACAGTTCGGACCATCCTATATATTGTGTGACATAGAAATTGCATCTAGTAAATGTAAATATATTTTTTTCAATAAAATTAAAAATATCTTGAAACATTTTGTTGAAAACTTGAAAATTTTTCAAAAAAAACTAATAAAATAAATCCCGTTTTTTTAAATTAAATAAAGTCTGGTTATTTGTATGCAGACTGGGATAAAAATATTATCGTTTACTCGACTTCATGCAGCCAATCAACCAACAAAACAGTACAAATATAGCCAAGCATATACAGACAGTGGCGTGCCGTATGGGGGGCACGGGGGGTTAGCTCTGACCGAGTGACGCGCCCTAGTGAAATCGCAACCTCAACACAGCTCGCCCACCCCGCCCTTTTACCCACGGCACGCTACTGTATACTGAGTTTGCAATTTCTGTCACATAGAGAAAGTACACACTGAATATTGATAACCATACCTGCAACACAATTCCGTGGCATTCATTGTCAGTCACTGTATTAATGTCCCCAATTTTGTTAAAACACATCTCAAAGTGACTCTTAATGTCTGCATTGTTTATCAGAGCTACGGAAGCCTTAGCAGCCGCATCTCGGGTTCTATAATCTGGGCTTGACAAGCATACGTTAATATAGGGCAAGTACTCTTTCACCTGAATTAAAAGAAATCATTATTTTCAGAAAGATTAAAAAAAACATATATATCTTGAATTAATATAATATACTAAAAAGTCCGTATACTAAGGGCTGGCAAAAGTTAGTTTTGGGTCGAGATTTCCGTATGTAAGGAGAGTACAATGCTGAACAAAGAGAGAACAGTAAAAACGTTGCCAAACGTGTGAAATAAACCGAGAAACTATGCACATTGCTAAGAGACGTGGAAGGGGATATAGCAGATTCGTCGCGGTCGACCGGTCGAAACAATCAGTACTTAAAATTCTAGAGAAGTGTGTACATCATGCGTTCAGCTTTACAATTTAATTACGTCTCGTGATACTTTATTTGTTTATTTATTAACAAATCGCTGTAATTTTCCCTATAGCTTGTCTAATTTTTAAGTGAATGAGTTGAATTGAGTTGATGTTCGACAGTGATTGCGCTATTAGAACTCTGAATTCAAAAATCGATATCTCGAAATCCATTAGAAATAATTGATTGCAGTTTTTTTCAAAAATTTTCTTAATATTTCTGCTATATTTTCATCGCAGACTTTATAAATAAAAAAGTTACACAATAGGGTCCTTGCACGTGTCGTGTATAATTTAAATATTTATGATTTCTAATACATTTTTACAATTTACTAATACATTAAAACATATATATGTAAAATCAGTTTGTATAAATTCCATCTGGAAAGTATTTAAATTAATGATTGAAATTCATTGAAATTCGCTTGGCGCGAAAACGAGGCGTGACGTCAAAGATATTAACATTTTCGGCTCACAGCGAACGCATTCCATTTAAATTTTAATAAGCTCTTCCCAATGACATTTGACATCTAAATAATTTATAATTTATTTAGATGTTTTTCAAATTTATTTAGATATCACTGGGTGTTTCATTTGTTAGAATTATGACAGAACCGGATTATAATAAAGCACAGACAATCTACGGAAAGTAGATTCGACGATGATCGCCTATTATTTTTCGCAGAATGTTTTGTTTACTTCTGCCAAAATTGGAGGAGCAAAAGTAAATAGGTAGGTATACGATTTATGTTTATAACTTGTCGACAAGCCTATGTGAATAAAATAGTCCTACTATATGTGTTTTAGTTGATTTTATAAAGTTATACTTCGTCACTGAACAAGCATTTTTAATCATAAAATTGGACTGGTGTTCGGCGCTGGCGGTTTCTACTCTTTAAAACTCTAAAACAGATATTACGTATGAAAACGTCAAATCAAAAAGGTTTATATAAAAATCCCTCTTATTTTCTATTAAATAATAATTTCCTGAATGTTTTTACCCTTATTCATTTATGTCATGAATATTTTTAACGTTAACAGTAAGTATATGTATATATTTAAGAAAACTATAGGTTAAGTAAATAATTAGCATTTAATTATCTCAATTCATACCTTTAAATACAATACTACCTGTTAATATTTTATCTAGAAATTTCACATTCACTATTCTATCTCATTCCTATATCTATACCTATACGTATTTCTCTTCCATAACCTGTAATAAAATACCATTAATATTATATCAATACCATCGTTAAAACGTTTTTTTACTTATTTTAACTGTTATTTGCCTTCTTTATGGATTATTTTTATCGAATTTCATCGACTTTTACTTAGATCTCGACGATTTATAAATTGCAGATTGATGAGATTGACGTTCGTTTGACGCATAAGTTTGACGCACGAGCATGTATGCCACAGAATATACTTGATGTATGCGTCAAATGGAGAAGAGCAGTGTTGTCCGATATTTTCGAGCGAATTTCTTCAACGGAGCGTTAAAAACCTTTCATATTCTTTCAACTTCACAAAAAAATCCAAATCTTGTAAAAAATCACTAAATTTCGTGTATTTTACTTATTTTATAATAAGGAGAAAATTTTTAAAAACTTATTTCTGGTAATTTTGGTACACTGATGTATTTATATAATTTTTTTATTAAAAAATAACATGATCAATATACTCGACAGCAGTATTATAAAGTATGTCTCAAAAAATTCATTTCTGACAATGGCTACTTCAATCTAAAATAATTAATCAAGACGCCATGATCAGCTGACTTATTAGATATTTATGTTTTACGTTTACCTATTTATTTCTTTTCAACGTCAAGAACTTTGGTTTAGTTATGGTATGTGTGTAATAAAACGTGTTGAAAGATAAAAATGTATCTATTATTTTTTTTGTTAAATGTATCTTTCAAACTGAGGAATCTTTCGAACTGTGGACTTTATGAATTACTTTTAACTTCATCCTTAATTAAACACCGTTAAAGTGAAAAAATAGATGTAGGATATAACAATACATATTTTAACAATAATTTTTACTGTGCAAAGCTGCCAGAAACCTTCATATTGTCTTCTTTTTGTATAAAAATCCTTCAAAAATTGACCTTTAATCGACGAAATTTGACTGTATTGTTCATATTGAAGGAAATCCTGCAATTCTGGCAACACTGGTTCTGTCATAATTCTAAACAAAGCGCAACCCTTTATTTAAATGGAATGCGTTCGCTGTGAGCCGAAAATTTTAAGATCTTTCACGTCACGCCTCGTTTTCGCGCCAAGCGAATTTCAATGAATTCAATCATCAATTTAAGTATTTTCCAGATGGAATTTGTACAAACTGATTTTACATATATATGTTTTAGGTAAAAATGTATAAATATTTAAATTATACCCCACACGTGCAAGGACCCTATTGCTGAAACTTGCAATGCACTAAAAGTAAATGGATGTTTTTTTTTAAATTTCTGATTGAAAAAAAACAAGTCTATCGAATTTTTCTTATTTAAAATCATGTAAAATATCCGAACTTCAAAATAAAAAAAGGCTTCAATATCTAAAGTAGTTCTTGAGTTAAAGTGTAATATGTCTTAAAAAGTTGAGTTCCTTAGTTATGACGATTACTGACGTTTTCTCGTTATAAAAAAGACACCTTAACGGTATCCTTATAATTCTATTTCAGATACTCAGAAACATATCTAATGATTTTACCTAGTTCTCTTTTCGAAAAAAAAAGTCTTTTAAAAATAGGCGGTTTGCTATAGTGATTTTACTTTACTTGATAGAGAAAGGCGTACCGGAGAAATGTGGCAACGCCGCAACAGCACACCGTCGCATTCCTCCCACTCCGACTTAATAAGATCCCTGTGCGATTTACTTCCACACATATAAATACCGACCCAAAAGTAAGAGTAGCCAGCACGGTATAGTAATAGAACATAGTACAATCATTCCAGTAAAAATTCCAAGTTTTATTGATATTTCTTATTTTAAATTTACTTATCCAAATGTCGACAAGTCCATCGCCTATTTTTTATTTAATGAGAATCCCGTTAACATACATTTTCAAAAATAGGCAGAATATAAAATCTTACTTGACAAGATTCCTCTTCGAAATTAGACGGATAAAGTCTCGACAATACCATCAAAATAGGTTGTAGTACCAGACTGGACTTATTATGGCACTCTTCGGCCAGAGTACTCAAGATAAAGCTGTAAAGGGGCTCGTATCTCAGGAAAAACACCCTCACGGTGAGCTTATTTTTGAAACACACCCTGTCATCGTCCGCAGTTCTTTGTACACCGAACATTCTGACCATCAGAGCGGCAAAAAGTAACGTTGATGAGTTTCTTATCTGAAAATTTATTATTTTAGTCCAACAACATTAAAGTAGAAACGTTGTCTGCTAAGTAAGTCACAGAGTAAAGGAGTCGGGGAAATTATAATGATACGAATACAGGGTGGTCCGAACTGTAACTGTTTATTGACAAAAAAATAAACACATTGAGTAGGTAGTTATTTGACTGAAATAATAAATTTGAAAAAAAATTATTTTTTAAATTAATCATGAATTTTTCTACGGAAAAATGATTTTTTCCGTAGATTTTTTTCGTTTCAAAACTTTTGGCACAAAAACATTACAAATTTATGATTTCAGTCTAATAACTATTTAGTCAACATATTTAATTTAAGTCAATGATGACAGGTATGATAAGTTCGATTCCAAATATCTCGAGAACCATTACTTCTAGCGATTTTTACTAAGAGACCTTTATTACGTAAAAAAGGTCGTAAATGTATATTTTTTACTCAGTAGTTTTATACAGGTACAGACAAAAAGTTATTACTCTTCAAAACAGTTTAAACACATGTAGGTGGCGCCCCCTACAAATAGGAGTCATATTGACATCAAAATCAAATTTCTCATATCAAAAAACTCCCAGATACCAATTTTCATCCAAATATTGACGTTACTTCAGAAATTATTTGGAAAAAATCGAAATAAAAATGAAACTTTTACACCCTGTATCTCCAAAACCAAGTATTTTAGGACATACATTTATACGAACTTTTTTACTTATTTTTATTAGCAGAATATGCTGCCGAAGTTTCAGCAATACAGTTCGGACCACCTTGTATATTGTAGAATTTTACGCAGAATCTAAAAATTGCTTTCTTACTCAAAGCAATATTAATAAAATTATATAAGAGTTTCTTGCATTGAACTGCTAATATAGAAATTAATTCCACGCTGTGTTCGTTCGTAATAATGTGGATCAACCAGCTCTCACTACCGGTTTCGGGGCCCTATCCCATCATCAGGTGAGCTTGGGTCGTTTCCACAAAATGACGAGTACAGCGCAGAGTATATAAATACAACTTGTAGTAAAGTAACGGTAAGATATTAAGTCCCGCATCGCGAGATAGCGGCGTGCGTGCAATGGTAGTACTTTCGTACCACCGAAGCACAACTATCGATAGTAAAAAATAAAGGCCTTTTTCGGCTAGCCCAAAATATATAATGGAAAATAAATTTCTTGCAGTCTTTAGGTATGCTAAGGGCTGGCAAAGGTTAGTCTTGGGTCGAGATTTCCGTATGTAAGAAGAGTACAATGCGTTTATAATGTACTGAACAAAGAGAGGACAGTAAACACGTTACCAAACGTATCAAATAAACCGAGAAACTGTGCACATCGCTAAGAGACGTGGAAGGGGATATAGCAGATTTGTCGCAGTTGACCGGTCGACCCAATCAATACCTCTGTCAGTACTTAAGTTCTAGGGAAAGGTGTACGTCATGCGTTCAGCTTCACGATTTAATTACGTCTCGTGATACTTCATTTGTTTATTTATTAACGAGTCGTTGTAATTTTCCTTATAACTGGAATTTTTTTAAATGCAAGCTAGAAACACTTGCATTTTTGGTAAAAATAAGTGGAATTGTGTGGGTGTTGGATAGTGGTCGCGCTATTAGAACTCTGAATTCAAAAATCGATATCTCGAAATCTATTAGAAATAATAGATTGTAGTTTTTTCAAGAACTTTGTTAATATTTCTGCTGTATTTTCTTTGTAGACAGTATGTGAAAATCTTTATCAATAAAAAAATTACACGATTGCTGAAAATTGCTGTGCTCTAAAAGTAAATGGATGGATTGTTTACAATTTTTGAATGGAAAAAAACAACCTTATCGAATTTTTCTTATGTAAACATATTGTAAAATATCCGATCTTGAAAATAAAAAAAAGTTTCAATATCTAAAGTGGTTCTTGAGTTATGGCCTGTTATGTGTTAAAAAGTTGAGTTTTTAAATTATCGCGATTACTGACGTTTTCTCGTTATAAAAAAAATGACACCCTAACGATATCCTTATAATTCCATTTCAGATTCTCAGAAACATTACACACCTAATGATTTTATCTAGTTATCTCTTGAAAAAAAAGTCTTAAAAATAAGCGGTTTGCGATCGTGATTTTTACTTGATAGGGAAAGGCGTATCGGCAACGCCGCAACAGCACACCGTCGCGCGTCGCGTCGGTCGGTCGCATGTCTCTCACTCCGACTTAATAAGATCCCTATGCGATTTACTTCCGCACATGTAAATGCCGACCCAAAAGTAACAGTTGCCAGCACGGTATAATAAAATTATATAAGTGTTTCTTGCCTTGAACTGCTAATATATATTATAGTTCAAGACAAGAAACTCTTATATAAGCAATATTAATTTGTTCTCTGTTGTACTCTAATTTTTAACAAAATCTTACCCCCCAGGTTTCACTCCGGAACCCCTTAATAGCCAGGATAACGCCCGCGGCTACGTAGGGGGCCACCAATTCTCCCAGCTTGCTGTGCCTGAAGATGGCTCGCAAAACGTTTAAACAATGCATCTTTATTTCACTGTTGCCATCCTCGGAATCCTCTGCCGTCTTCAATAAACATGACATGACCGTCTGGAATGGTGCTGATTCAATACTGGTCGTTACGATGGATAAAATTAAGAATGGAAGACCTTAAACAAAGAAATGGACAGTAGTTCAAATGTACCGCATGGTGTAAACCGTGTTATAACACTTGGATGGATAAAATTAAGAATGGAAGATCTTAAACAAAGAAATGGACAAATTGTTCAAATGTACCGCATGTTATAAACCGTGTTTTACCCAGTAAAAACAACTAGTTTTTAATAGAGATGAGTAAAACTGCGATTCTCCAATCGCCAATTGAAACTGCGACTGCGATTTTGTAACTTGCGATTGCGATTTTAATATTTACCAAACAAAACTATTATTCGTAAAAAAATGTTTTTTTCTAAATATGCCAATGAGCCACCCTCGTTCCATTTGAAAAAACGATCGTTTCGTTCTATTCAGAGTGTCATTTAATTAACGTCAAGTCAATGTCATAAATTAAGTCAAATCTCATTTTTTTATCAGAAAAAATAAAAAGTTATAGAGGTGAACCACTCTTGAGAAACACCCGGTATATTATGATGGTGGGCCTAGAAAATAATACCTCTCTATAAATAAATAATAAGGTGCTCGGTGGCGTAGAGGTACAGGCTCTCGTCTACCAATCTCAAGGTAGTGGGTTCGAATCAAGGTCGACTCAACCTTAAATGAGTACTTGGGCATCACAATCCTGAGGTAATAATATAGGCGGTTGAAGCGTAGTGCTAGCCACATTACCTTCCTTGTATACCGAACGGCTCTAGCATGGCAAGCTGTACCTTGCTACTCCCAAGGCGTCAAACGGGAGCTATTAATATTATTATTATAAATAAATAATATCAGAGAGAAATTTTAATCGCAGTTTACTATAAAATGCTTCAATGGACCACAAAATTACATTCGCAACAATATCGCAAATCGCAACGCCTAAAAATTCAAACTCGCAGATAGAAATCACGGTCTTTTACCGTAATTTTAAAACCGTTAAATTTGTTTACAAAATCACAATCATAGCAAACATCTAGTTTTTAATGCAGTTTCTAACAAAGACGATCAAAAGACGATCAGTTTAAATTCACTGCAAGTTAAAGATAGTTGAATTTAAATATTTTAAATAGTTTTTTTCTTTATTCTTTGTATTTTTTTTTTGCTTCCGACGACGGAAATAGATAAACTTTCCGAAACGTTAAGCATTTTTTTGTTCGTTAGGCAAATTTGTATATCTGTAAACCTAACTGTTGACAAGTAGTTTCGGTTTGGATTACCCCAGCAGTGTTCACAAAAAAAATAACTATTTTATTTTGTAGATTTTCTTGCAGTGGCGAAATACCCCCATATAGGATTTTTTGGAGAAATAATTTTGATTGTTTTGACTGCCATTGATGAGGCAAATTTCCATGAGCAGTGTGTTTAATTAAAAATAAGAGAAAAAAGTGTACCCGTACCGTCTCTTAAAACTATTAAAATTAGGTATTCTAATAAATAAAACAAAGATGTTAAACCACCAAACCAACAAAATAAAAAGGGCAGATCAAATGTATGAGGCATTGAACTAAACCATCTGAAAAATGATTAAAAGATCGAAGGATAAGCGTTAAAAACGATACGTTAAAAACAAAAACTTTTCTCTTAAGGATTTTGAATTTGTGCTTTTTATGTTTTTTTTTTATTTCTTGGATATTTTATAATTGATACGTATATAAATTTGGAAAAACATTGAATCAAGACTTGAATTAAAGTGATATACAGGGTGGTCCGAACTGTATTCCGGAAACTTCGGCAGCATATTCTGCAGATAAATGGAGATACAGGGTGTTAAAGTTTCAATTTTATTTCGAGTTTTTCCAAATAATTTCTGAAGTAATGTCAATATTTGCATGAAAATAGGTGTCTGGTAGTTTTTTGACATGAGAAATTTGATTTTGATGTCAATATGACTCCTACTTGTAGAAGGCGCCAACTGCATATTTTTTAACTGGTTTGAAGACTAATAACTTTTCCTCTCTACCTGTTTAAAACTACTAAAAAAATATAAGAAAAATATACATTTACGACGTTTTTTTTACGTAAAAAAGGTCACTTGGTAAAAATCGCTACGACTAATGGTTCTCTAGATATTTGGAATCAAAATTATCAATACCTGTCATCATTGACATAAATTAAACATGTTGACTAAATAGTTATCAGACTGAAATCATAAATTTGAAATGTTTTTGTATCAAAAGTTCAACAGAAACTTTTTTCGCAGAAAAAATTATGATTAATTTAAAAAAAAAATCCCAAATTTATTATTTCAGTCAAATAATTATCCACTCAACGTGTTTATTTTTTTGTCAATAATGACATGTATTGACTATTTCCATTCTAAATATCTTGAGAACGGTTGCTAGTAGCGATTTTTACCAAGAGACATTTTTTACGTAAAAAATCACAATGTAAGTACTGTATAAAACTACTGAGTGAAAATGTACATTTTTTCACTCAGTAGTTTTATACATGTCCGGATGAAAAGTTATAACTCTTCAAACCAGTTAAAATACATGCAGGTGGCGCCCCCTACAAATAGGAGTCATATTGACATCAAAATCAAAAACTCCCAAACACCAATTTTAATCTAAATATTAACATTACATAAGAAATTATTTGGAAAAAATCGAAATAAAAATGAAACTTCTACACCCTCTATCTCCGAAACTAAGCATTTATGGACATACATTTATGCAAACTTTTTTACTTATCTGCAGAATATGCTGCCGAAGTTTCCGGAATATACTTCGGACCACCCTGTATATTACTCTGAATCTTAGAAAGAGTGATTTTGTATCCTCAAATCCAAAATTACAATGCCGAACTCTCAAAATAATTAATAAAATGAGTAGTTCAAATGTACCACCAAATAAAACCTAGAGACACAAGAATTACCTGCGCTTCGTCTGGTCGGACAGAGATCCTCCGAGTGTTTTTTGCCGGTACAAAGCTCCAGAGCATCGTTCAGCCATTGTCTGGGCAACGAATTGATTTTCTCCCTCGAAGATGACCAGTAATGTTCGCAAATGATGCTGAAACCCACGGAGGCCTGTTCAAACACGCCTCTGTGTTTGCTCTGCACGAAAACGTTGACGAAAAGCTGTCCCACTTCCATCAAGAGATCGTCTGAAAGCATCGATATTTCGCTTTCTAGCTTCATCGTCTGTTTTACTATTTCGGCCAATAGCAAGGTCATTTCCTTCATCGTGCGCCAAGCGTACACTGTAAAATTTCCGGATTAATAACAAATAGTTACGTATGAGATACAATACAATCTCTTCAATCCGAACAGCTAACTGTTATGACCTATTCCGATTAGCGAATCGTTCCTATTATCCAATATACAGGGTGGCGCACCTCATTCCCCTCGGTTGATTATACGAAAACGGAAAGACGTAGAAACAAAATATTTTATGGGTATATGTAGAGAGGCAATGTGCATAATTTAAAATTATTTTCAAATGTACAGGGTGTGTCAGAACTAAGATCCATATGAAAGTTATATTTTTTCTTATGGAATACCCATTTCATTTATGGATTCTTTTTTTTTCAAAATTTTTTATTTTTTTTTGCTTTGGTTTTTGAGATTAAATGCTTTGGTTTTTGAGATATTTAAAGATATTTAAATATGCATGCTATAATATAAAAGTTTGGCAACGCTCTGTACGTTATTTTTCAGAGTTAATTCTTATGCCTGACTTTGAAGCCAGAGAAATAAACTTTACTAAAAAATTTTATTGCTTCTTCAAATGTATACAGGGGTATCAAAAATTGCTGGTCGATTTTAAACATTTATTTTACATAAAAACTTCGTTATTTCAAATACAAGACTATGTATTTTTTGTCGAAGTCAAAAAGCAATTTTTCAATAAAATGGTAATAAAGATGGCTGGTGTCGCCATGACAATTTGCCTGTGTTTCAAAACGACATTAGTTTATGGACTTTATTTAAATTTATAACGGTTTACAACCGAGGCAATGAGGTGTGCCAACCTGTATACAGAGTGAGTCTTAAATAAGTGCAAATATTTTTAGGGGTAGTAAATTTCGACATCAGAACCATGTCTATGAGTTTTTTTCGCGAAATTTTTTTTTGGAAAATTTGGAATTTTTGAAAAAAAAATGATGTGCCCCAACATTTTAAAATAAAGACTGTATAGAAATAGAGACTAATAAAAATTATAGACGTTAAATTAAGAGACCGACAAAAATCTGAGAAACTGTAGCTATAAAATTAAGAAATAATAATTATTAAAGAGATTAGAAGAAATATATATATATATTTTTATATTTTTTAAATATCAACAATCTATTACTTTTAAATTCTATGGTAAGTGTGCCCACCTAAGACCATCTGAGCTTTCGGAGACTCGTCGTTTTCGCAAAAATCTTCCACATAATCGGGCAGATATCCCTCGGGAGACGGATTACAAACAACGGGCATAATTTTCGAACTTATGTTGATGCAGTTGCCCACTAGATGTCCAAAAACACCACTGTATGTATCATTGTGTTTACTGAAATACGAAATAATAACAGGCTCTTTTTAATGGTACGTCTGTTACAACCATAGCTTATTCAGGACTCTGCCAAACCAACTTCGCGTGTCCCCCCACCTATAGATCCTATTCTCCTACATATCAATCTTAATCGGTATAGGCTTGGTGCATTTCAGCTGATTTCAACAAATTCCGACCGCAGCGCTTCAACGGCAAAAATCAGTACCTATTTCACGCCGCCGTCATGTTGATCGTGTTAAAATAATATTGAAATCATGGTTTTGTCATAATATTTAAGTATTTTAGTTTTTTTACTAGTGCAGTTATTGAGACTATAAAACATGTGATGTAACGCTGTTTCAGGTAGTAAAAAATAAGTGAAAAAGAATTCGAACTAGGCGTCGTGTTGTGTTTTGACAGTTTCAAATGTTAATAAACTTGCCGAAAAAATGTTAACGAATAAAGGAGAGCGTAATTAGGGCGTTGTTGGGTGCAATAACATTCAATAACTCAACTCTCTCGGATATTCAACTATCCCGAAACATTTTATAGCTTCATTGTTTCTCACACCGATTTGATCAAAAGTAAAAATAGATTCAAGCAGTTCGATGAAACTAGTGAGTAAACAAAATGCTCGTTACATAAACAAAAAATTAAATAGACATATACTATGAGAGGATAAAATATAATTTGCAATATTAATGCTATACTTTTTTTAATCAACTAGTGATTAATGTTTTACGAACATCTAAAATTATAATTATGTACCTTTAAAAAATTTCGTTATAGCCGAAATAGCCTCAATTATGCCCCAGTAGTAAAACCGGTGATTAAAACTATGCTCGCTACCGTAGTTGAACTCACCTAAAAAGTTTTTTAACTGGAATAATAAATTATAATACAAGTTAGACCTTCTGAAGATATCAAAATATTTACTTTTTTATTTTTAAAATTTTCACAAATTATACTTCCTAACACTTTTAGAATAATTAAATAATACATTTTTCGTATTCTCGCTATTTAAACCCGTGTATTTGTAAGTATGTACTAGTTGTTTACGATATTCTCCGATGGTGGCAGCACCGGCGGAGAATGCATCAAGCCTATTTCAAGCAATCGCAATGAAGCTCAGAATCAGGGTTGTTACATAAAATAAGAGAATATCCAGATAGGAACGCACATTTCGATGTATAAGACAGGTATAAGACGAAGTTAGTAGGCAGATACGGAATATACTGTGGTATATAGTATTTCTAAACCAGTTGAAGAATGAGTTGGGGCTCTTAATTTCGGTATTTCCTTTGTCGGTATCGTTTGAACAAAAAAATGAAGCGTCCCAAATTATTCCAACTGCCTCTGGAAAACAAGATACATGAAAATCAGTAATAACAAATTATCATGCCCATTGTAAATCCAATGGAAACAATAATCCAAACCAAATCAGAACTAGACCCCTGCTCCATAAATATTATATTTTACATGATTTTACCCAAATTGATATAAAGCCAAGACAGCTTAAAATTGTAGTCTTGACAATAATATATTGCTAATGTTAAGGATTATTTTTCGCAACACGGGCTCCTGGTTATTTATATGTTAAAAAAGTTAGTCTCCGTTGGATTAACGCAGCAGTGTTTACAATAACTATTTTATTTTGTAGATTTTCCTGCAGTGGCGAAATACCCATATAGGACTTTTTTGGGTTTGAGTCTCTATATAGTGTCTCTGTTATCTAGTATACTTAGTATACTATACTGTTATATAGTATCTCTGTTATAGTGTCTCTATGTTCATTGTTTCTTTAAGTTCTGAACTATTTCTAAGACTGGTTGTAACAAATCTAAAATATATTTTGACTCACCTAATATCTCTGTTCTCCAGTAGATGTCTCACGCTCAGAATCAGCCCATACACTGAAGCGTTAGCCATACTGACGTGGTCTATTTTGATATCGGCAGTCTGATTGATCAGCTTCCTAGTCAGCACGACGATCATGTCCAGAGTGGGGTCGTTGCCTTTCTTGGCCGCTTCGCCGCATTCGCTGTGAACGATGTCGAAAAAAAACGGCGAATACGAACAGATGTCGAATAGATAAGCTGCGGACAGGGTTTTGCTGGGTTTGACGTCCGTAGCCAGCTCGAAACTCCTCTGCATGTATTTGAAGGTGAAATTTACATTCTGAAAGTACACAAAAAAAAGTTTGTAATACGTTAAAGTCTGTACAGTGACAGGGTTTTCTACAATCATGATTGGAGCACAAAAACGAAACTTGCAGTGTACCAAGCAATAATAATCCGCACCATGTTATATGGAAGCGAAACCTGGGTAGCGTACCGCCGACATATGAATGCATTAAACGAGTTGCAACAGAGACAACTTAGACAACTCTTAAGAATCAAATGGTTCCACCATGTCTCAAACGTATCGGTCCTTAAAAAAGCGAGCTGCGAGACCGTTGAAGTCATGATTACTAAATCCCGCTTAGGATTGGCTGGTGACGTATGCAGGATGTAAGAAAACCGCCTACCAAAATCTCTTCTTTATGGTGAGCTTGTAGACGGTAAAGTGGACAACTCAAAAGGTACAGGGTGTCCCACTAAGAATAACTCTCGGCTTTATCTCGGAAACTGTTACTAGTAGGGCTTGCGGAAAAAAAGATATGTAACTAAAGCGACCACGAGAAATTGCTGGAAATTAATTTCTAGTTTGTAGAACGACCGCTAGAGGGCCCAACTGCTATAAACTAGGAAAATGGAATGTTTACGAAGTTTTGCCTAGATAAGGTGTACTATAAATAATTGCTTCACAATCTTCAGAAAATTTTGTAACTTTTTTGTCAGTACCATTTTTGGTTATCTGCTAAAATAAAGTGGTGGGAGAAGGTTAGATCTGTTATTATTTTAATGTTAATAACTCCGGACTGGATGATCGGAATCTAACAAATGAGAGCTCGTTTAAAAGAGCGTTTTTACTCTATATTATGTCACATAAACAATAAAAATAAGCTTTTGAACGTAGACGCTAGCTATCTTATAACTTAACAAACATTATGCGTTTTTCAAAAAAATCAAATGCAATAGTATATGTAATTTTAACTGATACTAAAAAGTAATAAAAGCTTAACAAGTCAGCGAAAACTGCATCTTGATATCTTTTTTCAAACCCAAGTTATTAGCAAAATTATAATAAATACGAAAAAATAAGCCCTAATTATCTTATTTTTCTAGTACGGTATCACTAGCCCTCCAGATTATGACCATTCTAATAAAAAATATGATAAAAAAGAGTATTTTATTCAAAAAATCCACAATGTACCAGAATACCATAATACTAGGTGTATTTAGTACCTAATAATTAAGATATCAATGACAGTGAACAAGAAATGGCACCTCAGTGAATTCAAGGTTGGCTTTGGAAAAATGCATTTTTTTTTATTTTAAAGAGATAGTTTAAACATCCAAATATTATTGTATCAACATTTTTATAGTCTCAGCAGCTTTCTTTATCTTTTGATTGGTTTTCTAAAATGCCTTTCTTCAAAAGAGAAAGACCGCTGCTAAGAATATCAAAATGTTGATCTAATAACACTTTGACGTTTATACTATTACGTCAAAAGCAACTTTTTTCCAAAACCTACCATGACTTCACTGAGGCGTCGCGACGACTTCACTGAGACGTCGCGAATAACAGTGAATAAGAAACGACGCGTCGTTTCTTATTCACTGTTATTGGTATCTTAATTATTAGATATTAATACATCTGGTATTATGGTATTGTGGTATATTATCGATTTTGGAAGAAACTAATCGTTTCTATCTTATTTTTTATTAGAATGGTCATAATCAAGAGGGCTACTCTAACCGTGTTATAAAAATTAAGTAATTAAGGGCTTATTTTTTCGTATTTATTATAATTTTGCTAATAACTTTGGTTGAAAAAAAGATATCAAGATGCGGTTATCTCTGACTTTTTAAGCTTTTATTATTCTTTACCATCAGCTAAAATTACATATTTATTTTTATTTGAAAAAACGCGCAATGTTTGTTATATTGTAAGACAACACCCCGTAGCGTCTAGATTCAAAAGCTTATTATTATTATTTATATGGTATAATATAGAGTAATAAACGCTCTTTTAAACGAGCACCCGTTTGTTAGATTCCGTTTATCCAGTCCGGAATTATTAATATTTAAATAAAAACAGATTTAACCTTCCCCACCACTTTATTTTGGAAGATATGAGGAAATAATTTTAACAGAAAATATTCAAAATTTATTGAAGATTATGAAGCTGTTATTTATAGTACCTGTTATCTGGGCAAAATTGTGTAAAACTTCATTTTCTTATTTTTTATAGCAGTTGCGCTCTCTAGCGGCCGTTCTACTACTTCCGTTCTAAAATATTTTCCTGCAATTTCCCATAGCCTCTTTAGTAATTTTTTTTTTCACAGGCCCTACGGCTAATACTTTCCGAGATACAGCCGAGAGCTATTCTTTGTGGGACACCCTGTACAAGGATATTTTCGACGAAAACTGGATAAGCATGCAGAATCAGTGGGAAGAAGCAGAGCACAATAGAATACAATGGAGAAGAATTGTATACTCAGTTAACAGCGACAACCAAAAGGTAAAGAGGCAACAAAGAAATTAGATTTTTGAATGTCGGGAGTGTGGAAAACCCATGAAAAAAAAAATTAAATACTCGTCAGCGAGTAATGGCAGTAGTAGTAGTAATTTTTTTGGATGTCGTCTGTCGAAATTATGCGACTAATTGGACAGACTAACTATAATACCATACTTACGTAAACAATACGATAACTACCTATACTTTGTTTTTTTTCTCAGGTAAGATTTCGACAGACGATGACAGAAGAAAAGCAGATGACGTTCCATACCAATCTATTTATTTTACTAAAAAAAGTTTCTAATAATTGTTAAGTTAACTATGGATGGGTTTAAATATAAATCCGTCATCCGTCGTCTCTTGTTGTTTTTAACCAGTTTTATTGGTTTATTTCAAAAATGACAGATCGTATTTCAATTTTATTGGTTTGACGGAACGATGAACGACAAACGGACGCCGATGCGTATGAACTCGCCTTTAGATTTTTGACGCTTGTCAAAGTCTTGCCAAATTATAGGTTATAATTTTGTGTCAACTTTGGTCAAATACCCTGCGTTTTGGAAGATGATGCATTTTGATTCGTGTTATTACCTGTGTTTTGTGTCTTTTGAAATCAAGTGGAGGAAAAATCGAGTGAAAATTAACTGTAGACCCAGAGCACAGTAGTTTAATTTGTTAATACTCGCTGCCCAGGAAGAAAGTCTTATACACCAATAAAGTTACAAGTTACCATCAATGAAGTTCGTATACAATCGCGTCGTAGATAAGTGCATCTCGAATATGGTAGGACCATACTAAACACATACTAAAAACTGGAGTAGCTGTAAAATATCGACATCACACGATAGGTAAATAATGGATTTTAATACTGCAGAAAAATAATGTCAAAATGTACTGGATTAAAAAAATTAAGATTAAAGTTAATTAATCAACCTTTAAGGTATAAAATTTGGTAAGTGTTATTATTAATAAAATAGTTTGTTTTATTTATGTTGTTTTATTTATTCCTGTGGAATATTACAAATTTGTATTTGTACATAAGTTATATTGATAAAAATAATCATAAATGCGGGAAGTTTCATAAAGCTTGAAAGTAAGAAATAGTTCTTTTTTATATTTTTTTTGTATGTGGTGTCTTGTTCTTGTTTGTTTGGTATTAACACGTACTGTTTTTATTAAATAAAATAACTCAATTACATTTTTTCAGTTTTATACAGGTTTTTTCACAATATTTTGAAGTAATCACTTGTCAGTCAAATTTAAATTTAAATATTTCCTGCTATGCTTCTACCAGCTTATTTCTTTGTAAAATAAAATAAACTACTCTGAAATTAAAATGACAGACACATCTATCACTGTCAAGGATCTTCTCGTTGGACAGACTATAACTTACCATAAATCCTAAATAATTCGGTGGCAGGGTTTTCAAGAGCTTCACGATCATCCCTTTATTGCTCTCGTAGGAATCGAAGAGAATATTGTGGCTGTTCTTGACGTCTTCTTCATTCCAGCAGCTTTTCCATTCGTCTGGATTTAGAATAGTCTGGATAATCAATAACAACTCCAGGCTAGTAGCCCGTCGAGGGTAGTTAGAGTCGTACGACAAGTTTCCTATAAATATCCTTGTCAAATTGCAAATAAACCTAAAAAAAGTATTTTTGTAAGTAGTTTACTAAAAAAGTTAGTCTTAAAAATTCGAAAAACAAAGAAATCAAATGTAAGACTCATACCATTTTAATTGTCTTATTTTCATAGATTATAAAAGCTGAGTCATCCTAAGTATAGATGGTCTGATCTTAATGTGAAAGATATTGAACCAGAGATCCTAAATGGAAAGTCAAGCATGTTAAGAAGCGACAAAAAGCGGGCTTATATATTTCTTCAATTCCCGAATATTCCAATAAGAATTTAAAACTAACCAATAATTAAATTTATGATGAAAGAAGCGATAGCCTCTAAAAGAAAAATAAAAGGGGCTTTTTTAATACAATCTAATAAGAATAAATATATTGCTCGTCCATCTGTAGATGTTAGTAATGTATGGCAATCGCTTCTTTGATCTTAAAGAACATAACATAGATAAACATAACATACCTAAAAATTAAAAACAAATTAAAAAATAACCATACAGAAAGTTTGAAGCTTTTTAATTTTATCTTATTAAGTAATTATTGTTATCAGGTAGTAATTGTTAATTTTGAAGTTTAACTTGATATAATTTCATATTAACAAAACGTCAACGGTTTTTATAGACGTGTCTGTTTAAAAAAAAACTAAAGTGTTCTCGAATAGTTGCATTTAAATATTTTAAATAGTTTTTGTCTTTTTCTTTGTATTTTTTTTTGCTCTTTTTTTTCTTCTTTTCATTTGTTCTTTGTGTTTTTTGCTTCCGACGACGGAAAGAGATATACTTTCCGAAAGGTTAAGCATTTTTTTGTCCGTTAGGCAAATTTGTTTATTAGTAAACCACTGCTGACAATTAGTCTCCGTTGGATTAACGCAGCAGTGTTCACAAAAAATAATTATTTTATTTTGTAGATTTTCTTACAGTGGGGAAATACTCATAGGACTTTTTTGAAGATTTTTTTTTATCCGCCACAGAGGTATAGACATTTTTTACAACCAATAAATTTTGAATATTAATGCAGCAAAGATAAGACCACTAATATATCAACAATTAATTCATAATTTTGGCTACACTACTAATTTCTCACCTATTTCAGTTTATTCCCCCTAAATCAATCTTGATTTTCACCTCGCTAACCAGGCTACTGTAAGCAGGAACCGACAACACTGGATTTATTTATGACCCACTTTATCAATTTGTTATAACGTTAAATCAGTTATCTATATCTTTTTTTAACTCGTTAAAATACAGACCACCCTATTTAGAATGACCAGACCGGTATATCATGCTGGCAACTCTTACTTTTGGGTCGGTATTTATATGTGTGGAAGTAAATCGCACAGGGATCTTATTAAGATCCCTATACCCCTTTCCCTATCAAGTAAAGTAAAATCACGATCGAATACCACTTATTTTTATAAGACTTTTTTTGAAAAGATAACTAGATAAAATCATTAGATATGTTTCTGAGCATCTGAAATGGAATTATAAGGATATCGTTAGGGTGTCCATTTTTTTATAACGAGAAAACGTCAGTAATTGCGATAATTTAAAAACTCAACTTTTTAACACATAACACGCGATAACTCAAGAACTACTATTGGATATTGAAGTTCGGATATTTTACAAGATGTTTAAATAAGAAAAAAATCGATGGGTTTGGTTTTTTATATTCAAAAATTTCACATAGTGTCTGCGAAGAAAATATAGTAGAAATATTAAAAAAATACAATCAATTATTTCTAATGGATTTTAAGATATCGATATTTGAATTCAGAGTTCGACCTCAATTCCACTTATTTTTACCAAAAGTGCAAATGTTTCTAACTTGCACTTAAAAATTTACAAACTATAGGGAAAATTACGACTCCTTAATAAATAAACAAATTCTAGGGAAATTAAAATAACTTCCGTTGCACATCATAATACAACCACCAGCAAACTCCATAAGACGACGCATGGTGTCATTGATGACGTGCAACGGAAATTGTTCCAATTTCCCTATATATAGTACCACGAGACGTAATTAAATCGTGAAACTGAACGCACGATGTACACCCTTTTCTAGAATTTTAAGTACTGTCTGAGTCGACCGGTCGACCGCGACGAATCTGCTATATCCCCTTCCACGTCTCTTAGCAATGTGCACAGTTTCTCGGTTTATTTCATACGTTTGGCAACGTTTTTACTGTTCTCTCTTTGTTCAGTACATTATCAACGCATTGTACTCTTCTTACATACGGAAATCTCGACCCAAAACTAACCTTTGTCAGCCCTTAGTATTACTGTATGATCGAAAATAACTGCCGTCGAGTATGAAATTCGTAGAAAATATTTAAAACACGGCTTATTCCAAACAACAGTTTTAAACGAAACACTGTCTATATTATGACATTTTTGGATTTTACTAGTATTAAAGGTGCCACAGCTCTATCTCCAACTGTTTTTAAGTCATTAGCATTTGAAAAGTGCCATAAGCACTTCAAAGGCTAATAAAATGTCAACAGCCTCAGAGCAAAATATCCTTTACATTTCTGTCTTAGTATTTTTATTCATAATCTATTATTTTCATGGACCGATTTTGCATTAAACACAAAAACATATTAATAAAATAATGTACCTTCTGTAAGACTTCTTCAGCTCCTGATATAGAGACAAGTATTTTTTCTGGTCCCTTTCTTCACTGGAATTCAGTTCCAAGGATTTTGACAGATTTGAAATGTTCTTCCCGATAACCTTGTATCCGGCGTCAAATCGCGTTAGGACTTTTTTGTAATAACACACGATTTGTTTTCTTACATTGGGCGATTGAGCCGTTATATTATACCTTATGTAATTAATTAAAAATATAAATTCCCAGTCTAGGTACAATTCGGTTGATTTCAGGCTTTCAGTTATTGAAGCCAGAACTAACAGTCTAATCTAAAAAAATCATAAAAATTTGGTATTTAATTGATGATAATTAATAGTATTTCCATTGTACTGCCAAAATGTTTGACTATTGTTGAAATGTTTTTTTTTACAAATAATAAATAGTTCAGTCATTGGGATTTTTTGCTTGAAAAAAAGTCCGGAAGTTTTGCAACTTTGCAGGTTTATAGGTTTTGGGGTCCCTAACTAAAATCCATAAAATGCACATTTACAGACTTGCCGCCGGCGCCGCCATCTTGGCAAGATGGCATGGCCCAAAATCGGTATTTTGTGAATATCTCGAAAACTATGCGTTTTTCGCGAAAATTTGAGGAAAGCAAAAATAAAGAGAATAAAATTTCCTATAAAAAAGGTTTTATGAAAATTTTCGTTAAAGTCAACCGTTTAGGCACAAAATCCCTGAAAATCTTACAATTTTGCGTAAAATATGATATATTATGTATAGTCGATTTTCCGAAATCAATGTCGATTAGGGTTCACTAAAACTAGTTTTAGTTTAGTTTCTTCAATTTTGCCATAAAACAGTGGCGTATCATTAATTCGCTCATTAATTTATGAATAATTAATTTTAATTATTGAAAACGTCTACTTATTTCCACACCACCCAAGAGATCAAGTATATGGCGAGTTTATTTTAACGTGGTCTCCCCGGAGGCCTAATCCACTAGATAAATTAAAAAATTTAACTTATCTGCACAAGCCCGACGGATCTGGCTCATTGATGTCAAAGTCGATCGTGTCTGCTGTGCTGGGCTCATCAGGGTGGTCTCTCAATACGTCCAACTCTTCATCTTCAGCCGCCAGAGGGATATCTACAAGCAAGTCCAACTCCTCTTCATCGGATTCGTCGAGTGACACTTCAGTGACGTTGTCACAGGATTTCCCATTGCAGTATGCACAAATCATTGAACATTTCTTTTCTGCATCCGCAGGCTTTGCCATAGTTGTTGGTTTTGCATTTACAGGATAAAAATGCCAACAGGGATTTTGGAGCTGGATCTTTCAACGTTGTGACTGGAGTAATGCCTGTTTTTGTTTTCTTCCAACCGCATTCCTCGGCATCTTTGGTACAACCAGACCAATGCTGAATCTGGTGGTTTGGTTTGGCAATGGGCAATGTTTGGCAATGGCAAGTTCGCAATGAATGCTGTCCAGCACGACAATTAATTATTCATAAATTAATGAGCGTATTAATGATACGCCACTGTTTCATGACAAAATTGAAGAAACTAAACTAAAACTAATCAGTTTTAGTGAACCCTAATCGACATTTGATTTCGGAAAATCGACTATACATATCATATTTTACGCAAAATTGCAAAATTTCCAGGGATTTTGTGCCTAAACAGGTGATTTTAGCAAAAATTTTCATAAAACCTTTTTTATAGGAAATTTTATTCTCTTTAATTTTGTTATGTCTCTCCTCAAGTTTTCGCGAAAAAGGCATAGTTTTCGAGATACCCACAAAATACCGATCTTGGGCGCCCGGTGGCAAGTCTGGAAATGTGCATTTTATGGATTTTAGTTAGGGACCCCAAAACCTATAAACCTGCAAAGTTTCAAAACTTCCGGACTGTTTTCCAAGCAGGCCCCTTTTTTGATCCCCAATGCCTGAACTAAAAAGCAAAGGAGGATTTAGTACACTCACCGGCACGAAAAACGGACACCTTAAAATTTTGACATATTTTAAAGTTTAATATATTTTGTTCTAGCGGGCCCATTTTGATGGTTTTTTAAGCAATTTGTAGCTAAATTATTTGACTTTTTAGTGTCTTTTTCTAAATTAAAAATTAAAGTTGGCATCTGTCAATTATACGAGGGAAAACAAAATGTTGATATTTTGGTAAAAGTTCGAAACACCCTGTAGAATATGATAACAAAGCAAGGAATTTAAAAATCATTTTATCATCTAGGGACGTCTTTTCTCGTTAGTCAGTTTTTGGATTCATCTCAATAGCTTTATTTTTATTGGAGATTTTCGCATTTCAATGAGACAGTTAAGGATTTACAGCAATTCTAGCATTGATTTTGGATCCTCATCAACACACTTATAAAATAGTGTTTATTGTTTGTGTAATGTCACTGTCATAGAAAAGTTATATTATAATTGTTTATTGACGTTTACCCTAGTAGAGATGATTTTAAGTTCTGAAGTATCGGCTATTGCTGCATTAATTAATCATGGTAGAGAACAACTTTTGGACCAAACCAAATCAAACCATCTCTATGACAATAATAAGATGATTTTACAAAGACAATGACATTATATAAAGCATAAACTCTATTTTATAGGTCTGTTGACTAGGCAAAAGCGAAGGCGTGGTTTTAATGTAAAAAATAGGAAAAAAATGTTAGTGTCTTCTTCAAAAGCGAATATCTCCAAAAAAAAATAAAATAAGAGATGAACCAAAAAACAAACTATCGAAAAAAGATACACTTAGATGATAAAATGATTCTTTAATTATTTGCTTATTCTTTACTAACGTACTCCACAGGGTGTTTCGAACTTTCACCAAAATATCAACATTTTGTTTTCCCTCATATAATTAGATGGCAACTTTTATTTTTAATTTAGAAAGAGACATAAAAAGTCAAAAATTTAGCTACAACTTGTTTTTTAATAAATGATCAAAATCGGTGCATTAGAATACAATATAAAACATTTTAAAATACATGAAAATTTTAATGTGCCTGTTCAATTGAGTCATAAAGTTCAGAACTGTTCCGCGCTATATGGTGCACAGCTCCTTTCAGAACCGTTCTGAGTAGCCCAGGGCGTAAAGCTCAGGAACTTGAAATTCGCGAATGGAGGACAGCAATTATTGTATGTCCAATAACAAAAATATATTTAAATGTGTCAACTGATATGGAACTAAAATACTCTTTTGAACATTTAAAAAAAAAACTAATTATTTTTTTGTAAAAATTGCAAAAAAATAAGTGAAGCTAACAAAAAATCAATATCTAATACAACAATTTTAATGTCCAATTATAAATTGTAGGCTATTATAAATGTCAATTTTTTGATTATTAATCTACTTATTAATAGTTTTTTCCTGTAAAATAGAGAAACATACTATTTAGAAAAAAAATTAAATTAATGTTGAGTTGCTACTCGTTTTCTTTAGACATTGCAACAAGGTTCAGTATTCATAAAACGAACAGAGAGAGAGGGAGAGGGATTCAGTTTACTATTACAACGTGAAACAATGCTGCTATGCCATCAATATGCATGTCAATAAATTGGCATGTCAATAAAAACAATAGTATATAACATCTTTTACCTCCTCATCTTGATGTATCATAAACATTTCCATTTTTTGTTTATCAATTAAGCCCCTCCAGTACAGAATACTATCTTTTTCCAAACTCAGTTCTATGCCGTTTTTTCGGGCATTGAGTAAGCAATGTAGCAGAACTTTGGATTCCTCAACAGTTCCGATATAGTCGTTTGGAAAACTATATAAAAAGAACAATCAAATACAAATTCAAATATAAAATATAAAATTCTTTCGTTAAATATTAAAAAAATATGACCATACAGTATGAGATATTTAAAAATTAGATAATCTCTAATAAAAAGAAGCAGTAGTATAAAATACCAAAATGTCCTAGGCCAACAGGAACTTGATTTAATAAAGTGTGCAAATATAAAGATAGTTTTGTGGCAGTATTAATACACTATTAAAAATATATGTGAAATTTTCTTCATAATTTTCAACTGGAAATAAATAAATAATAAAATAATATAAAAGTAGTTCAAACATACAAACATTCCTTCTGTAAATATTAAAAAAATTAACTCAACGCGTGAGTTATTTGAAAATTCTCGTAAAAATTAGATAATATCTCTTAAAAAACAGTATTATAAAAATACAAACTTGATTTAATAAAAAGTGCGCAAATATAAAAATTATTCTTTGCCAGTATAAATATAAAATTAAAAGATATTTTGTGGTTCAATCCTCACTGTGTGGTTTCAAGACACTCGAAAAAGTTCCTCAGAACTTACGACCGAGAAAAATCAAAGGTTTTTCTTGATTTAAGTAAAAACAATCTTCGGATTGTCACAGGGTTTCTAACATTACACAGTCTCCTTAACGAACACCTCAGTAGGCCGAAGCTGAGAAACAACGACGAATGCAGATTCTGTGGGGAAAATGGAGAAACACCAGAACACCTTATCATTAGTGATGGGAAAATCTGAATAATTTCAGTAATCGTGCACTCCAGTGTCAAGCGATTTCAATAATTGAGAGATCGCTCGAGCGACATTTCGCTTGTATTTAAAAATACGGGTTTTCGCCCGTCGCTTGTTGTACTCGCAACTCGTAACGCCAAGCAGTAAGTAGTGTTTGCAGAGCACATATTCTTTCGGTGATGAATGGCAAGTAGCAAGCGACGAGTAATTCGCTTGATTTAGTTTAGTTTAAAGCATTGTCGATGTACGTCGTAAAATGTTGTCACTCAGGTACGTAACGGATAACGTCGTATAAATTTGCTACCTGCAATGTATGTAGAAAATTCGCTTGGCTTTGTATCGAGTATGTCACATTAAAATCGGATTTCAATTTATTTCATTCTAGGATCGCTTGCGTTCGTCGCTCGTAACTCGTCACGTGCATCGCTCGTTCATAGTCGAGCGATGTTGGTTATTTCAATAATCGAGTACTCGAGCGAATATTCGCTCGAGTTATCCCATCACTATTTATCATTGAGTGGGCCGAGATGACGACCGTTCGTGCCATGAACTTTGGTACGGCTGATGTCGAGGATGGCGAGCTGGCCTCTGTGGAGCCGTCTCAGATATTGGCTTGTGTTAAAGCGCTGAGACTGATGAGTTATAACTCGTTATAACACAACTCAACAAAGAGGAACACACAAAAGATCTGTAAGGTCGCGGTGATCAACTTCTCTCTTAGACATTCTACATTCTGGTTCAAAAATATTTAAGATAATTTTGTTCCTAATTTTTAGCTTAAAATAAATAAACAATAAAATAGTATAAAAGTTTAGAATTGGGGGTTGGAACCTTGGTGTTACAAGAGCAAAATAAAACACTAATTCACCATAATACACCAAAATACTGTCGTATATATCGTCTGCTGATATAAAAGTAGTTCAAATGTACAGACTTTCCTTTAGTTTTTTTAAACATAATAAAACAATATACTGTATAAAAAGATCAAGAGTATCAAAAATTTTTAAAAAATATAACATAAATATACAGAATGAGTAGCAGAATGTTAAGAAACTGGAAATTTTTATTAAATTCGGTAGATATTAAAAAAATGTTCGAAAACTATGAAAAATTGGATATATTATATATTAAAAAAAATAGTTTATTTAATTTAGAAACAAACTATAAAAATATATTTATTAAAAACTAAACTTGGAACTGTATGAAAATATCATTTTAAAATGCATTTGAAAAATACATTAATTTTATTAAAAGTGACATTAACTAAATGTAACAACTCTTGATCGCTATACATATAAGTAATGATAAAAATAGATATGTTTTAAATGTTTAACAAAAGATGGACTTACGTCATTCTTAGTAATGCGGGCTGCAATTTAAAAGCTGCACTTATAATTTTCTGGCAAAAATTTTCATTTCTCTGGCCAGACCGCAACAGATTTATTACAGGAATGACCCAAGTCTTGATCCAGACTTCTTCATTGTCTGTGGAGAAACTTTTCTCTAATAACATTTGGTATGACTTACAAGCCTAAAAAGTATTGGTATTTAATTATATATATTTCAATTAAATTAAAAAACATACTTGATCGATAATTGTAGGATTATCAACACACTCCAATAGGATAAGCGGTAACTGGTCAAATTCCTTCAGCAAGAAATCACAACCATAATATTTAGCTATGTTTTCATAAGCAAAAAATCTCATCGCACCTTCATCTGGTATTTCTTCAAATTTTCCCACTAGGATATCAGTTAATTCTGTAGAACCTTTAAAATATATTATTTACATCTATATTTTTTAGAGAATATACCATTTCAACTCACCATTCCCATAATGATAGGCCGCTAATGCTACCAATTCTTCAAAGAAAATTTTAGAATAATTTCTAACAGTATCAATAAAATAATCAGCATGAGATGACACATAATACAATCCTTCTAAGAATATGTCTTTGACTAGATTTAAAGGTATTTTTCTAAACTGTTTTGCCATGAGACAAAGGGTCTTGCTAGTTTCTATTACTATAGAGGAATGTCCAGGATTACTTGAAAAATATATTATTAATACAACAATAAAAATGTTTTAAGATAAATACCTTTTATAAGTTTCTAAAATACCTTCAAACAATACCAAAATTAAAGATTTGCCATCAACTGTTTCAGACACTAACTTTTCTTCTGATAAAACACTTATAATTGATGAATATATAATAATAAGATAATCGCTAGGTTTCTCTTCATCACTTGCTTCATTTATTGACAAATTAAATAGTGATTGATTTTTACTTAACTGGAAAAATATATATTATAAATATTTTTCTAAAAATACAATAAACTTACCAGTTGAGATATACTCATGGTATCACCTTCTAACACATTAAAAGAATACACAAACACTAAGCAGACTTTCAGTCTCAGATCAAATCCAATTTTTTCATTGAAAAGAAGAATATAACAGTACATTAACAGAGACTGTAAGTACTGCTCTTTTATTTCTTCAAGGAATGAAATATTTTTAACAAACACAGGCAATATTTGCTTAACAACTGTACTCATAAGAAAATTCAATTCTTCAATTTCAGGAATGATGTCTTGTTTTACTTGACTGGAAATAGATATTTTACAAAAAAAAACAAATAAAGATCTAACAATTACCTTGCATAATATCCGTAACTATCAAAGAGAAATATATACAATGGAAATAAAGGTCTACAATTTGTCTCAAAATCATATTTTGGTGATGTTTGAAGAACAGACACAAAATGCAAAAATTTATGGCACTCTTTCAAATCACATGTCTTTTCATTTTTTATTCTATCCAAAATATCTTCAGCTGTACTCTTTATTATGTCATTCACCAAGTTTTGCTTAATTACAAGGTCTTGTACATATTTCTTCAAGTGCTTTTTTCCATTAAACTTTGTAAAGAGCTCTATAATGGTGTTCCTAACTTCGATATGCAACAATTTGTTCTCTGTAGAAGTTACATAGCAATGAACCTAAAACTATTGTATTAAAAATAATAAGTATTTATTTAGGCAATCTTACAATTTCCTCTATAATCTTTTTTATATCATTCTCGTGGTCAGTAGCAGCAAGTTCTTTTAAAAAGTTCTGTAAAGTTGGATTCGTCAAGTTCTTATTGACTCCATTCTGAAATTCCAAAGGTAACAAGCTGCTTTCCTTAATAGTATTAGAGATCTCGGCCATTCTAACGCCATAAATATTTAAACTACACTTAATTCTTAACTAAAAAATAGGAAATTCATGCTCGTGTTCATCTCATTCCACGCTTTCCGCTAAATTTTTGACGCACGTCTTTGCCGATAAATGTCAGATAAAAGATAAAATTCTTCTTAAACAAAATCACGGCTATAGCCTCTATAGCCATAGAGCATAAATTTATAAAGGGGTCTAGGATCATATATCAAAAAGTAAAAATTAAATAAAGAATTCTCATTTATTTAATATTTTTTCTTTCCTAAGCCGTGTAAGTATATTCCTAGATACACCACAAATTTTATTATTACCTAGTGAGTATTAAATTATTATTGAAAAATATCAAAATATTTAATAGCATCGATATAATTTAAATTTATCGATATCGAAATTCATTCCTAATTTTATCATTGTATAAACAAAAAACAAAATTATAAAAATGGTATTATTGCCTTGATGATAAGCATGTTTGGTAATTATATGGATTGTATACATTTAACGAATAAAAATAATAATTATCTTTTAAACAGATTACAGCAATGTCACACTGACAGATACCTAACCTTCATATGTTTGTGTTCATATGTATTCGATTTATTGAAAACTTAACTTTTGTTCTTCCTCATTTTTTTACTAGTTTAATTATAACAATAAATTTATACATTAAGATAAAATGAGTTCAAAAGTAGGCGATTTAGGTAAAAAGCTCGTCGAGCAACTAAAATCCAAAGAATTTCGAAATTATTTAATGAGGTAAGTCAATAGGTTAAACACTTTCAAAATTTCAAGGTTGTTCTTGTAGCACTCATTTTTGGGGACCAGTGGCAAATTGGGGCATTCCTTTAGCAGCTATAGCTGATTTTGGCAAAGATCCTAAATATATCAGTGGAAAAATGACAATAGGTTGGTTCATTATTACAGAACAAGCAAATGAAAATCGTATATTAATTACATAACATTAATTTTAGCTTTGTGTCTCTATTCCGCTATGTTTATGAGATTTGCTTGGAAAGTGCAGCCTAGAAACATGTTGTTGTTTGCATGCCATTTTACAAATGAAGGAACTCAACTAATTCAATTAACAAGATTTGTTAATTATAATTACACAAAAAAAGGCGAGGAAGAACAAAAGTAACAGTATCTTCGGTATTAAGCATCCGGGTACTAGGTTTCAAAGTACAGGTTACAGTACAGGTTTATAGAAAAAATTGTAAAGCATCATACCATAAAATAGTTTGTAATTACATCAAAGGAAACTAAAACTAGTCATTATAAATAGAGGTAATCTCAAAATAAAAAAAACTGCTTCATAGATATTGATATTTATAAATACCCATAAGACTATATTATGCATAATGTTAGAGACAAATGGATATATTTTAAAAACTTATGGACCAAAGCATCTGAAATGTGCTCAAATATACTTTTATTTACCTCAATAGTGTTTAAATTTAGTGCCTTGGATTTTTATATAGATTTTTCCAGTTGTATATAATATGTACCTATAGATTGGTGTTGTTATTTAATGTTAATTTCCTGGTGAAATAAATTATATTTTTGTTTTATCAAGCCTTTTCATTTAATAGGCCTTGGCTTCTTTTTTGGCGGAATAGTTAACGCGTGTTCTTAGTGCGTAAAAATGTCGTTTTTTTGGAAAATAGTAACCATTTATATCATTGTATTTTTAATATTTTATTTAATTATCATTTCCACCTTACAGTTTTTGTACGTTTGTTTGGAAGATATGCATTGAAAGTCCTAAAAACGGTAAAATGCATTTTTAAAAATGAACGTATTTCTGTGTTTAATTCGCGAAATTACGTAGAAAGATAGACAAAGACGAAAATAATATTTTGACAATTTGCATTTTTGTTCTGACATCTGCTGACATCCCTTTGATTTTGATAAGAAGATAAAGGAGTTTTGTTTACCTGAAGATATAAGAAAAATTATCAACCGTTGCCAAGCATTGGAATAACTAAGAAACATTTAGTTTATTGTCGTTTCTGATTTTTGTGAAGTGTAAAATTTGAAAGCTTATGGAGTTTGTTGAATTAATTGTGATTCTTCGACAAGGTATGATTATAATTTGAATAGTAACGTCTTTTGTAACATTTTACCCATTTTACCAACGACTCTCCTTAATACATATTGTATTTATGTTATTGCAGTTTTTTGAAAAAATACTCCTCAAAAGTGCAAAGTGAATCTGACAATTTCTCTTGGCAGATACAGAAATCCAAAAAATCATGGTGGTTTGCTGTAAGTACCTGTTTATTATATACCTATTAATTTATTTAATATGGATATAGGAGAATGAAAATTCATTTTATAAGAAAATGAAATGTTTATTTTTAACTATTTCTATAACATAGGTACATTACATACACAACATTTAAAAACTTTGATAGAAAACTATTCAATATTTTTAACTTTTAATAAAATGAGAAACAAATCTGGACGGAAATAAATTCACTATGTTTTAAAACAGATTACTCAATTTTGTTTTAAAATTCCAAACTTATTTTTTATAAAATATAAACTTATGTACTATTTAATATTAACTTGTAGACAACTTATAGGCTAGTAGGTAGTATACGAGTATAAAACATTTTGATACCTAGACTAATTATTTTGAACACATAATATTTTTCAATTGTACCCAAAAAATTATATTTTACAACTGTATGGGTATGTTTTATTAGCCTACAAACGAAGCTATGAGATTCATAAATACAGAAATTAATTATATTTTCATCTAACGGAATATATTCTAATCAGTTTTTGGAAACCTTTACAGTGCAAGACAAAACAATTATTAATTTCAAAACAAGAGACTTTTAAAACTACCGTTTTAAAGCAAATTACAGCAAAATTAAATCTATCTAACTTTTGTAATTGACTGAGTCAGGGATGATTTTTTTTGTATTCATTGAGATTACTACTTTTCAATCTAATAAAACTAATTTCTTTATTATAATGTCTATATAATTTGTTTTAGTGACATTTTGTTTTACAAGATATTTTATTGCATTGTATGCAAACCTGGTCATCCTAAATGGGTGGTTTGAATTTTAATGTGTAAGATAAAGATGGAGATATCCTAATGGAAATTCAGACATGTTGAAAAGAGATAAAGAATGGGCTTTGACACATATTGCCAGATTTTCTATGAATATATTTAAAACTGTCTGAAATAAATTCATAATTTATTTTTCTAAAGTCTGGATATTAACTACTTCTACCTCAAGAATCTTTAAATGCCACAACCGCACGTAGGAACCGGCAACGCTGCATTTCATTGTATCTGTTAAACTGGGTACAACGGATGTTAACTCCTCTATCTTTGTCTTATTAAATTACAGACCGTCGATTTAGAATACTTGTGTCTAGCCCTAGCAGGCAACTATTAAGCCCGACCAATCACGTTAGTGTTTTTGACAAACACAAATGAATTAACACCCTCCAAATAACCACGCTAACCAACCTGATTGGTCAAACTTAATAGTTGACTGCTAGGGCTAGACACTTCTTTTAGGATGACAAGGCCAGTATGTTATAAAGCTCTTAGGTATGTATTCTACAAGTTTTAAACTAAATGTAAGTATAAAATATATAAAAAAATATCGGAGAGAGTTCTCTTTTGGACGGTTTTGGTAAAATTACGCGGCTTTCTTATCTAGATGATTGTCTCTTTATGAAGAAAAACCGCTAAAATCACGTTTTAATGTATAAAAAGAAGATTCAGTTGAACTTTAAGGCACTCGAACATTGTTGCCTGTGTCTACCTCAAGAATGGGGCGACCAGAATCAGTGCTAGTATTGACAGTATCAAGGTATTTGGCTGGAGGCCCGTGCTACCAGCCAATCTACACCTGAACATGTCAAATCTGGTTTCGTTATCGTCGATCAGGTTGCTGAATTCTGCCTCTACCAGCTGGCCATCATAATAGGTGATGGGATCTTCAAAGGGGTACTCGAATCCCTGTTTGCACTCGCATTTGTAGCCACCAGTTTCAAAGCCTCTGCCCAAAATGGGAACACACTGTAAAAATTATAGAGACATTCTTAAGTTAGTGTAGGCTATAGGTTTTGTTTTTATTAGAATATAGGTATATAATAATATCTTATATATATTTTTGTAACTGAATAGGCCCCCATACATCAGAAGATTTGAACTGCGAATTTTAGCTACGGACTTAAGCTAGATTTTCATGCATCCGTTGTCCGACGATACGATGATAAGATATTAATTTTATTGGTTGAATTTAAAGACTTCGATTAGTTAGAAAATTAGTCAGTTTTTAAATTTATTGCATTTTCATTCCTTCATATTTTCATTTCCATAACGATTTCGCTGTTTTATTTTATAGTTTAGGAGCTAGCAACGTTTTCGAGAGAGAATTTTAAGAAAGCTAGTTCTTTGCTTGCTATATCTTTTGCTATGCTCTCCTGAACAGAGTGTGGATCGTCTGGCTGCCGCGCCGGTACACGTTGCGTTCACTACTGCGCGTCGTATCTGTATTCGACATCTGTTCAATACTGCGCATCACAAATTCGCCCTGTATTTCCGGAACTAAGAAGGTTTGGATAAACCCATTAATAATATAAGTAGTAATAATATATATTAATAACCTTATTTAGTTTCATAAAAAAGTAGCAAAATACTGTAAAAATCGTATCTATACTCATAAACGAGAAATCCCATAAAACACACGAAAATTGTGATACCCTGTACAGATGCGACGCGCAGTAGTGAACCGCAGTAGTCTACCGGCAGCCAGACGGCCCGCACTTTGGTCAGGGGAGCACAGGAGAGCATAGCAAAAGATATATTAAAGAACCAGTTTTCTTAAAATTCTCGTTTTCCCGACGGTGTACTCTTGTACTATTATATTTTTATTAAGGTTAGATTAAATTTGTCAAAAAGTGTCAAAACGTCCGTTATCGTAAGATCTTTTTCCGTTGACGGGCTGGAGTAAAAAATTTACGGATGAAAAGTGGCGCGAAACCAATCAGAGCGCCGCGCCGTCACGACGAACCATCGTATCAACGGATAACGGGCCCATGAAAATCAAGCTTTAATCGGGCAAAAATCTTATCGGCAGGCTAGATTGGGCTTCCCAAGATATTAGAGTTTTGGTACGTGACTGGCTAAGTCCGCGGACTAACTCCGCAGGCTATGGGGGGCTATTATGTGGCTTTTATAGACTAGATTTTTGATGACGTCACAAGATATGCAACCAAAATTACACAGAGAGCTAAAGTTTTTTTTTCAATTTCACTATTTAATTTGAATTCTAAGAAGTATAATGAGCATGCTGTTGAGAATTAAATTGCAAAAATTTAATACTTGGTTTCTGAGAATAAATATATAGGGTTGGCAACAGAGGATCTTGGGTCGGTATTTACATGTGTAGGAGTAAATATCTTGTCGTAGAGAGAAAAATGCGAAGTGTTTATTACATAACCACTTAATCCTGCGCTTTATTCCATGCGCCTGAGAAAATACTTGCTCATCTCTCTTTGTTCAGTACATCTTATTGTATTGAGCTTATTGACTCTGCACTCTTCGTACACACAAAAATCGGCACCCAAAGCCAGTCGTTGCCGACCGTGTATGTAAGGCTTTTATAAATGTGTAAATGAAAGAAAGTGTTAGAATGTTTTTCAGAGTTCTTATTTAAGAATATTGGAAAGTATTTTGGGTCACTCTAATTATTTTAAAAGGCAACTAAGAAAAAAGGCATTAGAACACTGAAGTTAAGCGACGTAAGGCGATACTAGTGGATGGACGGGTGACCGGTTCGAAGCTCTGTATCGTGTTGTTGTCCAATAAAGGCAAAAGTGTAAAATCCATTGACGCACACTGCTCATTCACGCCGGTTCGAGGCCGGATGAGATCGGATATCTCGTGAGTAAGAATCGATTTAGACACTTGCCAAGTCGGTAGGCTATTGACCATGATATAGCCGAGTAGCGCGGTTCGGATTCCGCGTAAACAAAGTAGGCCCCGTCCAGATTAGCTAAAAGTCCTGCCAGCAAAAAGGAGACGTTAACTGAAATCTTTACTTCTTTTAATTATTTTAAAGCATAATATATCGTGTATTATTAATATCAAAAAGAAATGTCTCTTAAAATATGTATCTCTATTTAGTATATCTATAGAGTATATATAGAGTACAATATATCTATAGAGTACAATATAATAAAAATATCTATAGAGTACAATTAAATAGCTTTCAGTCTGTTTTAGAGGGCAGAACCCTTTAAACAAGAATATCCTTAGACTTATGTCAGTTTTTAAATTGATTTCTTTAGGATCCATCCGTATTTTCGGTTGCATATTCAATGATATCAAATTAATGTTATCGTTTGTTTATTTTTGATAGAAACTTAATCAAGAATTGCAAAACTCCAAATTATGTAAATTATTTGATTGTGAATCGCTGATTGTTATAATGTTGTTATGTTGTATATGCATTTTAAATGAATTGTGACGCTTATGCTGTTGTAGAATATGAAAATGTCCAACTTGGCCAGGGTTGTTTAATAATTATTTTATAATTTTAAAATTATACTACATTGGTATATGTTCATTGCCATGTATGTATTTAGTTAGTATTAGTATTTAACTTTAAGAATCAAGTCTGAAGTGCCTGTAATGGTTTTTTTTAATTTGTAGAATTTCAAATGCGTTATAAATCTTAGTAAATAAATTAATACTAAACCCATATTTAAGATTACAGTGTAGAATTAGGTTTTAGTACTTACATAGGATGTTTTTTGGTCGCACTTGTGTGTGTCCTTAAAAGCGTTGGGTACGTAGAATTTGTCAGGGCATTGGTTTATATCCAGCTTCAGTAAGTCCATGGTAACTGCCACTACACCTCTACATAAAGAAAAACCAAATTTAGTTACTATATTATTAATTGACCTTTGAAAAATTTGTAACTTTTGTCACACACGGATTCACAACTCAGCGACTTGATATAAAATAATAGTTATTTTCAGCTTTAAGTTCGAGTTCATACTCGGTACACTTAATTTTTATATTAGCGCATGTTTTGATGTTTACATATAGCGAGATGAGTTAGACCAAAATATTAGACCCACTGAGATATATTTAGCTGTCAGTGACAGTATTAAAGTGCTATGAAAACGCCTTACTTGAATTCCAACTTAGCTTTGAGACTGTCCCATCCAAAGAACGGTGCGGCGTACTTTATCTTCCACATAGGTACTTTTCCAGCGCAGTCGTAGTACGGTGAAGTCCAGTATCCGTGATCCAAGTTAGCTCCGTGATAAAAGTTCGGAAAATGTTCGTATTTTATGGTCGTCTCCCCGGTCTCGTTGAATCTAACCTTGATCTTCAACCAGAACTTCTCCAAACTATCGAAATTCGAAGCAAACCGACCCTTGAGAAAGCTGAACCATTCCTTGTTAAGGTAGACTTCTTCGGGCTTGTCTAATCGTGCCAGGTCTTCCACGTTGTACTTCCTGGTGTTCAGAGTCTTTTTGTAGGCGTAGGGTGCGAATAATGTGCGGTTGGTAAACTTGTTCCTTTCCCAGTAAGTTCCCGCTGACCAAATGCGGCTGTTGCCCAGGACTATGGCTAGGGTTTCACCGATCATTTGATCTTCTGTGAGTGGTTTGTCGGCTACTCGCTTTCCGGAGTAGACTTCTTGAGGATCGGAGACTTGGAGGAAGGCACTGATGAAGTTGGCGAGACGTAAAGCCATTTTGGCCTCGTTTTGGAAGAATTCTTCCGCTCCTGCCATAACACCTACGAAAAGAACAAAACAAAGTCAAATAATTTGTCAAAAAAGTCTCAAAACGTCTGTTATCGTACGGTCTTTCTCCGTCGACGGGCTAAAACGGGGGTAAAAAATTTACGGAATAAAAAGTGGCACGAAAACGCTATAACCAATCAGAGCGCCGCGCCGCCGGACCATCTTATCAACGTATAACGGATGCATGAAAATCAAGCTTAAGCCAGGCTCTGTGCAACCACAGATTATTGTTATTAGAAAAAAAAATGAGGCCCAAGATGTGATAAGTACCTGTCGAGTTTGGAACAGCATCACATTTATAGAAGAGACCAGAGCCCTTATGCTGGACTGGAAAGGGGCTCTTTTAACATATCACATCCCTTTGAATATAACCGATGGTAAAATTACTACGAATGGTAAAAATTGAGTAAATATCAAGATATTTGGCATTGAGGATGGCACAGTGGCTTAGGAAGACTGAAGACTTGGATTTAATTTAGATTTTGTAAACTCACCTCCTTGCAATACGAGATGTTCGGGCTTATACCTCTTGCATTTCTCCTTGTTCATTGTCAGGATAAAGTTGAGAGCTTCGTGAACGTTAATCCTGGGTTGGTTCAAGGATTCGGGACCTTGAACCGGTCTGGTGTACTCTGGATGTTGGTCCATGGTGACAGCTCTAACGTGCCACGGAGCTCTTTCCCATTGGACGGGCAGTTTTTGAATCCCTACATATCATAAAAATATCAAATAATTAGAATGATCCATTTACTTAGAGAATTATTCTGAAATATATTACTGATTTCTTACTGATTAAATTTATTTTTTACTGAGAGTATAAATGTATAGATATATTGTCACAGATATGCAAGTAACATTAAATCTGATGTGATGGTTAAAATGGTCAAGAACGAGCAGTACTTGGACAGTTGTATAATCAGTGGTCTTATTAAAAGGCCCTAACATTGAAATTATAGCGAGCTATACTCACATCCAATTTTTTTGCAGTCGAATCCGTTGTAATACTGTTCTTCTGTAGCTCTTTCGACAATTTCACCCAAATAAGGTCTTCGGACTTGGAACGGCAGCCTAAAGCCGGGCCTACACCGACATTGGTATCCTCCCCTCCTAAAACCCCATCCATGAATAGGCTCACACTGAAAAAAATCATCGTTTATGACATTTACATCCATGTAAGTATAAGTATTCAATACACATTTTAATTTTTTTTATGTAGGCTCTGTGGCTACTTTATACTTATGATTTATATTGGCTAAAAATACCAAAAACGATTTATATATCTAAGTATTATGATGGTTAAATAATGAGAATCACGTTGTTACCTCTGTAGTTTCTTTTTTACATCTTGCCGTGTCTGCAAACCTATTGGGTCCGCTATTTCCCAGGGCATGTGGACATTGGTTGATATCAATGCGTTCAAAATCCATTTCTACCACGGATGCGGCAGTATAACTGTAAAAAAACGAAGAAATTATGATTTTCATTAAAAAACAACTTAAGCATAATGATACGTATATTAGATAGTTTTTAAATTGATTGTTCAGTTTCAAGTAAGGGCTTTTCCCTATGGATATAGACAAGGTAGGTCTTAATAAGAAAAGAGATGATGTTGTGAAGTACCGCACATCTCTTTAGTCGATACTAATCTGTGAACTATGAACAAACGTATAGAAACGCCATCATTTTTAATTGTTGCCGAATATTCAGATGGCATGAATACTAATCTAAGCATTAGTTGTCTTTTTAACATGATCAATAATCACCGAAATGTTCGTTATGCACATGTGTTCCTAACTTCTTAATATTATAATTACATTAAAAAGCATTTAATATAAATGTATGTGTATGCTATATTATTATGAAAATAAATACAAATAGAAAAGACTTGTTGATGGTTTTATTTGTGCGAAATCATTTAAATCAATTCACGACCAGACCTATTTCTTTGCTAGGGGAATAAAAGCCAAACCAGAATTGAAATAAAAATAAAGGGTGGGTCTTTGCACCCCTTGTGTACCTTGAACTAGGGCGAGGGCAGGTAAAAAGAAGTAATAGAGGGTAATGATGTCGGTCGGGGTGGAATTTTTATGGTGTTTACCCTCCTAGGCAATGTCGTTATTAACATAATTGCACTTTGGGACCCTTTGATGGTTAGGTAATCATTGTAATTAAAAAATGGCAAATGGGTTAGACTAAGAGGCAATTCTAATTACTGCAATTCTATTACTGTGCAATTCTAATTACTGTTAAGGTTTGAATATTATTTAATTTAATTGTGTTTTAATTGACTGGAATATTATTTTGTTCCACTCGATTTTAGAAACATGGGCATTCTTTTGATTTTGCATAATGAGTATTTATAGTTTTATAGGTACAAAAATAACATTGTTTGTTTTTCTTGATGATTTTGAAACCATTATTTGTGAATGTTGAATTATGCTTTTGGTGTTATATTAATTTGTAATATTTATTTACTTTTAAAACTGACCGCGCGTTTCGCAATGTTAGCATCATCAGCGGATGACTGAAACTACTACCAAAGCTTTGAAGTTAACCAAAAGTTTTAACCCAACTGTATATCTTTAACCAATACTTTTTGCTTAACTAAAGGAGATATTCTTTTTCTATAGCTTAGGTTTTTCAAAGGTATATTTGCAGTATATCTTGAATATATCTGAATTATAATGGATATATAAATTTGGAAAATCATATAACACTATACCAATAAAGCTCTAGTCCGATTAACGAAAGAAGGCGAGTGCATTATTTTAAATATTCTAATTAATTAAAACTGAATGTATGATTGTGACATTGACATCAATATAAAAAATACTTCACAGGCGATAAATAGCAAAACACAGGCCCTCTATTTTCGTACTTACGTCGGGTACTCAACGTGTCTGAATCCGGTGTGTCTGGGGTAGATATCTGCAATTGGTACTACTGCGGCCACTAGCCACCTGTTGGATCTGCCGCAATCGAAGTACGGCCTAGTCCACTGAACGGGGCCTGGAACTTCGTCAGATCCCGGAGGACCATGGAATGTGAATGTTTCATTCGTATTGTTGGCGTATCTTATTTCCACCTAAAAAGTTCATTAGGCCCTTATTGTTAATGATTTATATAGATAAGATTAAAAAATATGTCTGCGAAGTCGTATTTCAATGGGAAAGCTGGAGACATGGTATTTTTTATAGGAATACCCAATTTTGTACCAAAATATGTGCAGGTATGTTATTGGTGGGAGCACAGAGGTCGACTTTGAGAGGGAGTGGAAAGACGTTGGAAGAATGGAACGACGCGACGCCAAGAACATCTTGGCAGGATTATCTAAACTCAGAACCAGACAACTTTTAAACGCCGACACGAATGAAATATACCACTGCACTGCAATGAACAACGAACTAGTAGAAAAAAAAAGACATTCTAATAAATAACACAACACTGAAAATAGTAGAACAATATATATATATATTTAGGGCCACTAATACACAGCTCAGGATCTCTGCTACCAGAAATCAACAGAAGAATTAAGTTAGCATGGAGTACTTATAGATCTAGAATGCCACTCTATCTAAAGAAGAAAACATTCGACCAGTGCGTACTACCAGTCATGACCTACGCATACGAAACCTGGACGCTTAAAACGGATATCATAAGGAAACTGCAGGTCGCACAACGCTCAATGGAACGAAATATGCTAAGAATAACCAAGAGAGACCGTAAAAGAATAGAGTGGATACGACAAAAGACCCAGGTAATAGATGTCATCCGCAGAGTCAAATTCCTCAAATGGCAATGGGCAGGAAACTTGGCAAGAAGAACAGACAACTGATGGACCACAAAAAGTACAGCATGGTACCCACGAAAAATTAAGAGACCTAGAAGAAGTCCAAACCTGAGATGGGACCGTTATATTAGGAAATTAGCAGGGGTAGCTTGGGCCCGCATAGCCAACAATAGACAACAATGTGTCCAACTACAAAGAGAGTATGTGATGGAGGCTACACCATAATTGGAAATGGTTGAATAAGCTGAAAATGATGTTGATGATAATGATACCACTGCAACCTAAATAACATAATATAGGAAATGGGGTTGGTGAAAGACGCTGAGCGACTCTGTTTAAAAATTGGAACTATATATGTTTTATGTATCTGTCTAGCTGCTAACAGATCCAGGTTTGAATTGTGCAGTAAACCTATGATGGATCCGAGCTTAAAGAATAACTCTTACTCTCAGATCGAGATCTGAGTCGTAAGAATCTAGCATGCTGGGATTGTGTTATTGTGTATTATATACATATTAACATTATACACCGGCATATTGTGCCAATTTTACTGGTATCGCAGATGTTCGGTTAAAAGTTTTTTTCCAGAGACAATTCAGCTCTTGTTATTAGCTTGCCTTTCAAGCTACCCTTTGTGTACCTGGTATGTTGTTTTGGTGTCGTGCCTGGTATTCACTTGATCTGGCAGCCATTTCTTGTACCACTCGTTGATTCGGTAGTAATCTGAGGTGTAATCAGCACTAGTGTCTGGTCTGATTGCACCTAAGTCTTCGACGGTAAAAGTGTTTAAGGTTGATATCCGCTCCAAATGGACTGGATCGTTGAAATCGTCGGCTCTGAATGTCCTAGGCGCGAATCTAAATAAAGATTACATAAAAATATTAAGCAATGCGTCCACCAAAGTGATCATATAAGAATGTTTCCATTTTGCTACGGGAAATTGTTGGTAAACTTTATTAATAAGCCTTGTGAGAGTTCCCATTGTTCCATTCCCCGAGCCACCCTTGTTCCATTTGAAAAAATTGAGATATGATTAAAAATACGATTAGTGCATCTTTTAATCGGCCAGAACAAGACACGAAAAACATTAGGCGATCAAATCTATTTTCCAAGGCTCCTTGATTAAAAATCAGTATTTTTAACACAGCCACTGTAGATTGAAATTTAAAATACGATTTTTATTTAAGCAAAAATGTCAAAAGTTGACATATGATATGGCATTCTATACCGAGGGTGCCATTTAAAAAGCAAAAGTTGTAGTCATTTCCGGTGAAACAGGAAGTAACCAAAAACAATTGAATACGTCAATCAATCCTAATTTATGTCATATACTAACATACTAAATCTCGTTTTTTTATCTAAAAAAATAAAAAGTTATAGGGGTGAGCTACTTCTGAGACGCACCCGGTATAGGGATATTGGAAGAGACAAGAAAACAGTGTGAATCATAATATATAGATGACATGACATAAGATAGTTATCGATAATAAGTAATTCGATAAACAACGGCAATTCGCTTTTCAAAAATTCTTGTCAAAATTTCTATCCTTAGATAACTTTTGACATAACTAGGATTATATATTGTAGATCGGATTCTTTTTTTGTTATTTATTATGTTCTATTGTTATACACAATTCTTAGCTATTTAGCTGCCTTACCTCGGAAAGGTTTTGTTGAAGAACCCCCTGTACGAGCTCGAATAGGACATGTTCGGAGCGAAATAAATAGCACTAGCGTTGACATGTTTATCCGTGGATACGTCCGCCACCGTCGACAACAAATAGTACATCATTCCCGGATCGTATGTATCGTTAATCGCGGGTCTAATAAATCGACTCTGCAGAATATAAGACCAGAAAAATGCCCTGCTCAGCGCCACATTGTGCACATGCAACAGCTGAGTCCTGTTTGGAAACACCGGGTTGATGTTGACGTCTTTAACGTCGGGAAGATGGGAGACCGAATCGGCAGGAAGGTAAAGATCTCCTGCATGTTGCACCTCACAGTTATCTTTGTTTACCGCCCTGAACGAACGGACCACTTCGTCGAAAGCGTCCCTCGTCTGCCATTCGTACTGAGCGAAAGACAGGGAAATCAGGAACAGCAGGAAAATCCACCACATCGTCGCCGGAGAGTCGAAAGAATTGAATGTTTACCGGAACATCTCTTAAAAACTTAATAGAAGATGCTAGAGAATTACTGGAGGAAGACTGACAGGGCCCTGCCCAAACGGTCAGCGATGTTGTTGCAGGTAGCGCTTGAGCGCGGAGGTGGCACTGCGGCGTTGTCGATGTGACCTCGAGGTTTTTCTTTAGATTTATATCGATTGGGTACAACTGCAGGAGTATAAGATATAACATATAATAATTATAGGGTATTACAACTTGGAGTAAGGTTCTCATCGGATACTTTGATAGCATATATTTCGAGCAGTGTTAGTTTATTGCTATCTCTAACATCTGAAGAAACAGGAGATGAAACTTAACCAGATATCACTCACTAAGGTTTCGATAACATTCGAGATTGTTTTAATAAACTACTAAATATAAATGATAGTAATGAGGAAAAATGCAATTTTAACAAGATTCATAATCCCATCGGATTTAGGTGCCTATGGAGCTTGCAATTTGAAACGCCTTGTTAGTAGACCCACTACAGTTTTGATAGTCGTCCTATTAGTTGTGCCAAAAATTTGGCGAATGAATGTTCTGCTATTTTTTATTTATTTATTTTTTTTTTGGAGAGGTAGCTGATGTCTTTCATTTGATAATTGATTGCCCACACAATTATAATGACCAAAAAATCTTATACTCCTATTTCGACAATGAGATCGCATTTTGGATCGCAACCAAAAACCGATTTCGCTGCATGCAATCCTTTTCAAATTCAACAAGACAGAACACAAAATCAAATCGCTTTGTTTTTGAATGTTAGTAATTTAAAACTCTAAATATTTACTAATAACAAGTCTAACATTAACCTTATAATCAAGAAAAAAAACTAGCCGCAAATTTGAAATGTCATAATCACATTTTCTTGAAGTGCACAGTAATTATTGGGACTTAGAGCTGCTTAGTACTTGTAGAATGCATGCATAACTGAATAGTTGCAGAGCTTAAAGCAACCTGTTTAATAGCCTCAATAATTGTTAGTCGTTAAGAAAGATAAATCAGTGAAAGTCCATAAAACGTGACCACCCAGAAAAAAGAAAAGCAGAAAAGTACTTTTCCAGAATGGCCCTGGCAGCCTAGGCAACGCAACTCTCTCCTGAAGGAGAGTTTGAGAAGAAAGAACTGCTTTTTTGCAACAGGGTTCTGGACGTATGAATTGCATTGATGAGCCTTGTTTTGTTATTTCATATGTCTTTCCGTTGCCATTGTGAGCCTTGTGCTCCGGTACCTGGTTAACGTAATATTTCTACGTTCCCAATGTATTTAGAGCACATTCACAATCTCACAGTAGTGTAGAATTGAGCTCTGGAATTTCTAGAAGTGATTGTTTATTGATGTCTCTAACGTCTGAAGAAACAGGAGATGAAACTAAATCAGATATTATTAACTATACTGATACTACTAATTTTGATTCAATACCCTTCGAGATTGTTTTAATAAGGTGCCAAATAAAAATTATAGTCACTTTGACAATAACAAGAATAATGCAATTTTAAACAAGGTTTCCTGGGCCAGAACCGTTCTGCTTTCCAAGTGGAAACCAACTTAAAACGGAACTGAAGAACCTGGAAGACTCCATCTGTAACCTGGAATGGAAATCTTCCAACGGTCTAAGGCACTCAAAAAAGTTTCACAGAATTTACGACCTAGAAAAATCAAAGATTTTCCTTGATTTAAGTAAAAACAATCTTTGGATTGTCACGGTGTTTCTAACAGGACACCTCAACGAAAACCTTAGTAGATTGAGCTGAGAAATAACGGCGAATGCAGATTCTGTAGGGAAAATGGGGAAACACCAGAACACCTTATCACTGAGTGCGTCGAGACGACAACCGTTCGTGCCATGAACTTTGGTACGGTTGATGTCGAAGATGTAGAGCTGGCCTCTGTGAAGCCGCGTCAGATACTGGCTTTTGTCAAAGCCCTGAGACTGTATGATGAGTTATAATTCAAGAAGTGATTAACGCTCCTCTTAAACTTTCTACATTGTACTGGTATTTGGTAACAGTTTTGTTTTTATTGTAGTAATAACCATTACATTAAGTTGATGTAGCTAAAGAGAAACAGTTGCTATATTTAACACATTTGGCAGTTTTCAGCTCCTTGTAGCAGTGTCATCGTTAACGAATGACTGTAGCTGTTTTTTCCAATACGAGCTAAATTGATTGTTGTTAAAAAGGCAGATAATTTAGGTTCTCTTCATCAAAATATTTTATTTATTAATTTTTGATACCGACATTCTTGGTGTAAAATGGAATGTGTGATTTTAGAATCATCTTCTAATAAATCTAATGGCAGTGGTAGCTTATCCAGAGAATAATTTTGACTTAGGGTATGGATTCGAATTTATTTCAATGCAATCAATGCAACCAGCTTAAGGTTTTCGATTGTGACAATTGTGTTTCTTAATTTTTCTGAAGACTGGGTCACCCTGTATGGTGTTCTATTTGAAAAAAAAGTGAAAAAATGGTGTGTCACGGATGCCGGAACTCGAATTGTCGTGCTGTTGCTCCATGGTGTGAGTAAGAGTCCATTTAGTTGACACTCGCTAAGTTGGTAAGCCATTGAAATTGATATGGGCGAGAACCGTATGTATTCAATTTCTCGATGGTTGTTTTTGGACACTCATATTAATAAAAAAAAATTAAGATATACTGAAGAAATTACTAGTAATTTGGCAACGCTACACCACCTTGTACACTGACCTGTCGATGATTCAAATCTCTTGTTTGTAAATAGAATTAATCTGTAATCCCTTGAACAGAGGCAACCAAATTAATAGAACTGTATATCTGGTTGCGGATAGATGTTTAAAAAACCTACACTGTCGTGAATTATCAAGTATGCTCGTTTAACGAGAGATGGCGCTGCGAGAATAGCTGCCGTAATACCTCACCGCCGATCTCCGATGTAAAATAAGTACTTATACAAAAATTTGGAGGGTTGTTTACAAGGTCCTGCCAAGTCCGATTATCGGAGCAACATACGGAGTTCTTGTAACTCTCTCTTGGCTCTGTGGAAGGTCCCCGGACCCCGGGTAGAAAGTACCGCCGATCGTACTCGGCTAGTCGACGCCCGCTGCCGGAAAAGCAGGGCGCTTGCACGGTAAGGGCGCGATGTTAGTCACAGCACAGGTATGTGAGGAGCCTCCTAGCTCTTCCTTCGGGAGGGGTGCGGGGGTAACAAAACGGGGCCCACTCTGGCAGGACTTTTTTGTAAAAAAATGATTTTTATTTTGGTTTATTACATTTTCGAATGTATGTATGTACGTATCCAACTTTAAAAAATATTTTTTATACAGGGTGAGTCCAATATTAGCTCTTCCTTCGGGAGGGGTGTGGGGGTAACAAAACGGGGCCCACTCTGGCAGGACTTTTTTGTAAAAAATTGATTTTTATTTTGGTTTATTACATTTTCGAATGTATGTATGTACGTATCCAACTTTAAAAAATATTTTTTATACAGGGTGAGTCCAATATTTCGACCCCCAGAAACACGATTATGAGTGTTTTTTCCGCGAATTTTTTTTTTAGTAAATTATGATTTGGAATTTTTTTTTAGTTTTTGTCAAAAAACATAATTTCTTGATAATATGGCAACATAGGGAGTAGATGAAATTTACAAGAACGAAAACCCAGAAAAAACCAGTGGTTCTCAAAATTTAAGCAGAAAAACATTTTTTTTGCAGTTTTTCTAAAATAACTCGGTTATTTTGGACTTATTTGAAAAAAAGGTACAGAGAAAATAATATTATTATGTTTTTTTTATAGAGATTTATCAGCTCTGAAAATATGTGCGCTTATTTAAGACTCATCCTGTATATGCACTAATGTATTTTTTTATAAAATGGATATGCTTATATACAGTATGTCCCCGGATTATCTTTACAAGAGGAAACACTTTTTTATTATTAACTCTTTGAGAATAATCTATTCATAAGTTTTTGCTTGTTCTAAAATGGTTTATCTTATATTTTTCCAAATTTCCATCCAATCTTATCGCGTAAAATTCTATAACTTTTTTGTGTAGTTATATCTAAAACTATTAGTTTTTTTAATATTTCAATCTATTTAAAGATAATGTTAGAATTATCAGCGGCGCAATTGTTTCTGAAGTTGGTACTAGAATTAAATTAAATTTTTACTGAAAGGTATTGGTGACTGTAGGAAAAAATAAAATTTATTTGGAAAAAATAAACTTAGATTGGTCAGGTTATTCTATATTTATTTTTATACAGGGTGTCCCAGAAATAAATGCAAGTATTTTAAGGGGTGGTAGATCTCGATAAAAGAAACATATTTTCTCTTTATCGTTTTTCAAATAAGTCCAAAATAACGGAGTTATTTTACTTTGAAAATTCACAAGAAAAATGATTTTTTGCTAAAATTTTGAGAACCACTGGATCTTTTCTGGATTTTCTTTCTTGTAAATTTAATCTAGTACCTATGTTGCCATATTATCAATAAATTATGTTTTTTAACTAAAAAAAATTCCAAAAAATTTTTCAAAAAATTTCGAATTTTCAAAAAAAAATTTTTCGCAACAAAACCCTCATAGGCGTGTTTCTGGGGTGAACTATACTACCAGTTAAAATACTTATTTCTGGGACACTCTGTATATTAATTATTTATATATTTTTTATTTATTAAAAACATGAAAAATAGTGTTGATTTTTTTCCAAAATCCTGAAGTCTTAAAAATCAAAAGAGGTTGCTATGGTAATATCAATTCGATTTCATTCTTTGATAGATAGTTATTATTAATTTTGATTAATGTCATATTGAACTAAATAAATTTTGTGCTTCTTTAACATTCTAAAATAACAAAAAATATTACGTTAATTAAAATTCTATGAATAACAATCTATCAAAGAATGACAACGAAGTTATATTACCATAGAAACGCGTTTTGATTTTTAGGACTTCAGCCATATTTTCATGTTTTTCTTAATTTTCTTTGAAACGGAATGGGAATTTGGAAGAATATAAACGGGATTAACCATTTTAGAACAAGCAAAAATTCTTATGGCTAATGCATTTTTCTCAAAATGTCAATAATAAAAAAGTTTTTTC